CGTGGATGCGCACTGCTGATGAGTCCCATACCAGGACGAGACGGCCATCCATTGCTTCCAGGTTTCTAATGGTGGCCTAACATTGATCGATTCATGGTTTCAAAAATGTGTTTGCTCTAATTAACATGAATTTGTTTATATGAAAATGTTAAACTAATCAAGGCTATTCGAGACAATAATCACAATGAAATGAAATAGATTACGTCACTCACTACACATGATAGGTAAGAGTAAAAGTTGGAAGTATGAAGACAAGTCTACTGGTGTTAGTAATAATGATAAAATACGATAACAAAAGGTCTAGTCACTAGTTCAACATTGGAAATCGTACGTCAAACATGGATAAATAGACTTCAAATAATCATTACAAAGCATTAAAACCATGACGTAATAAAGAAGTGTACAACTGATTGGATAGTGAAGAATATAAATGGAAAATTACCAACAAATACAGGATGTGAAAATAATGCCAATGATAACTAAAATAAAGATGCATTACGAGGTTGTGAAGATTGTTAAGTTACACATTGTTAAAACTACGATTCGATCAATGTTAGACCATCATTAGAAACCTGGAAGCAATGGACGCCCGTTTCGTCCTGGTATGGGACTCCTCAGCAATGCGCATTCACGACTCCTGAACCCCGCAGGATTCGAACCCGGGACCTTCGGTATAGTTCATGAACCGTTAGACCACTGAGCCGGTATCTGACGGTGTTAATGTCTAACTTGATCGAATTCACGGAATTGCGCAACCTCATACACAGTCTTCGATAGTAGTTACTGTCTACACCCGAACAAGTTGAACTTCACTGGTCACGTCTTCCCACTAGAACCCTACGAGGATGACCTTAACCCTACTCGTAGGAGAGTACCTGGCAGTGTATATCAACGACCCGGTCAAATACTATCAATCATAAAGTCATCCTACATTGAAATTGTGATTTCTAAGCCTTTCAAATTATAAATCTTATGTAATATTTATGTAGGAAAGTTTAAAAATCTAACAATAAAGAGAAATATATTTCTTCAACTCGAATCAATCAATGTCAAAGAATATCCCATTCTATCATAATAAGATGTAAACATTGTTTCATTAAAAATTATGTATACAAGTTAAATTGGTCAAAATTACTTGAGAACTTAAGTGTCATAATACAACAAGTCAGTTGTATGATGTGTCTGAATACGATTTAAACAAACACACAAGATGGAAATTCAATGAAACATCAGAAACTATGAGATAAATACGAGAAGGGAGGGGAATTTTTTTAGAAGATACCTTCATGTAAATCAAATCGCTGGTGGGTAAAATCTTGACTATTTACACTTCACTTTTTGACGTCATCTTCCCACATGACCTTGAGACAAACATGTGGCGCTAGGTACACTTTTAGATATGTATATATACATAAATGTCATGTTCTCACGAAAAGTCATTCTCATTAGTTACCATAGTAGTAAAATGCTACAGAACAGTATATTTGGTGATGTATTACGAAATTATTCACAGTTCCTCTTACCATCTGTCGAAATACTGAGTGACTGGATAGGAATCCAACCAGCAGCTAGTGATGATACTAGCTGACTTCCTAGAGTTCAGTGAATGCAACCAGGTTTGAAGAACATCCAACTTGTAGGTTTTTAAAATCGTAAGGTTTTAACCGCTAGTGTATCAGAGAAACTCAATACAACTTTATGAAGTTATGAACTATCGATATGTGCAATTTGTGGTGAGACTGTTTATTTATGGACTACGTTTGAGTGATGTCAAATTGACCGTGTGAATAATCACCTACTTGCAAGGGTTAAAAGAAAGTTGTAAATTACTGTGTGAGGAATTGGACATAGGATTTAGAGATGAATGTTAGGGTTAGGAATCATAGTTAAGGATTTTCATGATCAAATGATATCAGTTATATTGCCAGAATGTTATTTGTGTGAGTGAATTTTATTATCTCAGAGCCCAACGGACAACTGTTTGAGGCTGGTCATACGAGACCTTTCCATGAGATATTTTGAAAGTGTTAGCTCCGCTCTTTAAATGGTCTTACTGCCACAGACGGAAGTCCAGAGGGTAAGTTGAAGTGTGACATTTTAAGGGTCAACCTTTTCCAACCATTTCCTTTCGTTGTAAGAAGGCTGCATCGCTGCAGATGATGGTTGTCTGAGGGAATTACCTTACTGCTGTCACCCCTCTCAACAGTCTGCAGGACAACTTCGCCCTCTGACCTTGAGTTGCAGCTTTTAATCTTACCGTTCTCCAATCAAACTATTTGGCATAGTAGGACCTAGGGGAATGTATATCCCAGTCATTATAGCCTGGTTGAGTCATCACGACAGGCAAGCCCGACTACCATGTCAAGGTAGCAGCTACGGTTGGATATGGCAGCTTGAACTGATGTACGTACGTTCGACTGATTGATTCCTCATCAAGTGATCAGTGCACAGCCGATGATATGTTTATTGTTATTAATGGCGGTGTCCGAGATCGGAACGTCGATATATATTTGCTAAACCCCACAAAACTGACTACTTGACCAAGAAGACAAGAATGCAAAAGAAAGACTATTTTTTTACTGAATCATCTACGTAAAAATACACATTTATATATCATACATTACTTCTCCTTAATAAATGGAGCAATTTCTCGACCAATGATTGATATGCACTCGTTATTTGGCCAATCTTCTGATTGGTTCGTTATATCAAAGTCATGTTTTTATAATTGACTAGATAAAATAGTAAGAAGTGAACAATTCAGTTACCGTTTCAACGCAGCAGATAAGTGAATAACACATCAGAGTTTAAAGTAAACAGTAAAATCGTTGAATTCCACAATACAAAATATCAATAATGATATGTAAATACATCCGGCTAACTAATAAGACGAAATATTCATCCAAAATTTTATGATTAGATAACAAGTGATCGACTATTCGAATTTATTTATTGACGAAAAACTAAAATGAATTCTCGTCTCAATGGAATCTTTTACTTAATTTGTAAAATCGATGCATGCCAACCTCTTCAGTCAGTCCACTAGAACGTAGAACTTCGTACATCACTGTTCAAGCTGCAATATCACAAAGATATGCAATTGCCAATTCAAACCCAATAGTGGTAGATGTGTACGCAGTAAACGGAAAGATTAGGATTTGAAGATTTTATTCAAGAAGTATAATACGGTGAAATAAATTTGAGGAGAGAACGAGGAAGGTGATAAGGAATTGAGATTAGAATTTGAGAAAAGACAACGAATGGATGCGCCTGCGCCATTGCAAACGTCTTATCATTCAAAGTCAGATAGATACAACGCAGAACTTCGTACGTAAGTACATCAGTTCAGGTTGCCATGCCCCATCAGCACAGAGACGTAACTGTCAATTCAAAACCAAGAGTGATAGCGATAGTAGAAGCATTAGCAGTAATGGAGGAGATTACGGTTAGAAGGTATGATGCGAGAAGTATAATTCAGTGAGATAAATTTAGAAGGAGAAAGATGGAGAAAATGAGGGATTCAAAAAGTTAGAATTACAGAGAACACAAAGAGTGGATGCGCCTACGCGATTGCAAACGATTCTGAGCCATATCATTCAAGGTCTCTAGCCATCGATTATTATCATCTCGCGGACCCCAACCAGGTAGTCGACAATTACCGACATGACTCAGTCCACTTGTCAGTGACTTCATGGATTTCTGCCATGTTTTGGTTTGGCTGCCCTAGCTTTCTTCCAACCTACTCCTACACCACAAAACATAGCTCGTCGAGGTAGTCGCTGGTTAGGCATTCGTAACACATATTCCAACCACCTCAACTGATGAATTTTCACCACTTCATCTATTGATTTGCCATCCCTACCTTTGAACTCGTTTCCTAACGACAGCATTGCTTATACGGTTGTCCTATGATACTCAAGCAATGCTTCAGAGACAACGATGGTCGAAGACTAGTAACCTACAAAAGTCCTCTACTCTTAACGGCCATGTTTCGCGTCCGTATAGTAGGAGTCTTTCAAAGTCTCTAACCATCGATAACAAAATGTCACATCCCAACCTCTCATCCTTCCTTGGACCCAAATCCCAGTTCTCCAGCAAAGTTTTATTCTTGTACTGTGTTTACATTCTCCATTAATTATATTTTTAAATTGTATTAATTATTATTATTATTGTAATTATCATTCAGAAATAATCCATGATTGTCGTTTCAATTTTTCTCAGTTCTTCTTCGTATCTATCAAGCAAACAATTGTCTTTCATATTTCTCAACCTGTAAATTATTTTCACTCATATATATTCACCTTTTTTTCTAACCACCCCTGATTTATTTATTACACAACCTAACATTTGATATTTGCAATCTTTGATCAATTGAATTTCTTTCATCTTACCATAGACTAGTATATTTCTTTCTACTCTTTATGTTATCTTATCTTAATTTAAATGACTAACTATTTCAACAAAAAAAATTGCTGAGTTATTCATCTAATATCCTAATAGAATTATTGGTCTCTTCCTATTGGTCAATTTTATGGTTGTCCTAGATATCAATATCACGTGCTCCAATGTTGTTTCTTATTGGTTGTCCTTACTATCAATGTCAATTCAAATGTTACTTCCTATTGGTCGGCTTAACTGTCAATGCCACAGACTTTGATGCTGTTTCCTATTCGACCAAAATGTATAAATACGTATTATCTGTAACGTTTTATGACCACAACCAGGTCCCGGTCCCGGATCCTGATTCTCTTCTGTACTCGGACCTCATACTTTCTGGATGCTTGTAGAATACCGGTTCTACTTCATACTCAATATGGGGGTTGGGATAATCGGATTTGAGTAGCATGTCATGTCGCCGAATCCTCGCTCTCGTATACCGACTAAGCTATACTCGTAATAGTTCAAGTATATCAAGTTGACGTGTTTACATGCAGGCGTAACATAAATAATCCTCCAATAAACCAACTAAGAGTAGGGCATACATGAATAAACAATAAAATAATCTCAACTTCTTTCTTTATTGTATTTAAAATTCATGTTGAACATTGATCCATTCGTACTATTTGGCGGTAAATAAATAAATAACTATTTAAAACACAACGATCATGTTTTAATGGGTCAAAATACTAAATACTAAATACTGATAATATTAATTAAAATAAAAGACCACTGAAAAATAAACACAAAGTAATGATACTCTGAACAACACATAAAAATAGAATAATAGAAAAGAAGCTCCACACACCACACACAGAGCGAGATTGTGTATTACATAATTATTGCGTTTGATTGAAAGCAGATCTTGATATATATCTATATAAATATTCTTCTTTGAAAATAAATAAATTCATACATTGACGACGGAATGATAAATGAACATCGACATTCAAATGAATGACAGATAGATAGGTAGGTAGAGATAGATAGGTTCACTGATTGTTGATCCAATGAAACATTTCAATTGCCTTCAAATAATTTTTGCACATTTAATGCATCCAAACATGATTTCCCTTCTAAGCGATTAACTACATGTGTTGCTTGTCCATTTAACTGAAATTTATGTAGATAGAAAATAATAGAAGAATAGTTAATAAAATATGATTGATCGGAAGATAGTTTACACTAAACACTGTGTTATGATGATTGATTGATCCTTACTTATTATGAGTACAACTTGCAAATAAGAGATGTATATGGAATAATCTTTGAAGAGATCAATGTTACGCCTGCACGTATACACGTCAACTTGATATACTTGAACTAGTACGAGTTTACCCCTTAGTCGGAAAACGAGAGCGAGGATTCGGTGACACGACATGCTACTCAAATCCGATTATCCCAACCCCCATAATGAGTAAAAATAAGAAGACTTGATATGAAGCAGAACCTGTATTCTACAAGCATCCAGAAAATACGAGGTCCGAATCCATAAGAGAATCAGGATCCCGGACTAGGGATCGGGTCCTGGTTCTGGTCCTGGTCATAAAACGTCACACATAATGCGTGTTTATACATTTTGGTCGAAATCTGTGACATTGACAGTTAAGACGACCAATAGGAAGTAACATTTGAAATGACATTGACAGTCCGGATGACCAATAAGAGACAACATTGAAGTATTTGACTTTGACAGTTAAAACGACCATAATTTTGACCAATAGAAATCGACCAATAGGATTTGACCAATAATTCTCTTAGTATATTGGATGAATATCCTAACAATCACATCCTTGCTCACCAAGATTTTGACATGGTGTCTGACAAGCTTGTGTGATTATGACAGTGCCGAGGAATAATACACACATTTCTAGGTAATGCTTATTTTTCCATAACGCAAAATGAAGGGTTATATATATGGAGAAACACAATTTGATACATAAATTTCAGGTATATAGAGAATTTGGTCTGAAAAGTTAGTTTTCTCAAACAGTCATACATTATGATTCTGAGATCACGCTTTCAAACTGACAAGATCACCCATTAGTCTAAATTTGTTTGTCGAAGGTTCGAGAAGACAAAAAAACACTATGGTACCGATGATAAATGGACAGCCGTCCACACGCCACAAATATGACTTGAGACAGTTCAACTTGATTGATTACATATAACTCACAGAAAATCTTGATGCAGAAAAAAGGACGGTGATCATTGAAGTTAGTTCTATTCGAATAACTCGTCCATGATATAGTTTCATACATTAAAATGTTTCTAACTTTCTACTGGAATACTTTCACAATGAATAGAACAAAATTTTCGTTTTTAGTACATCTCACAAATTGAGTACGGGTGTTTGTACCGACCGTAGCTTTTACCTTGACGTGATGATGGTCGGACTTGCCTATCGCGATGACACAACGGGAGCATATATTCCTTTAGGTCCTTTAGGTAAGACTATAAACCGCAACTTAAAATATGAGGGCGAAAACGTACAGCTGACCGTAAAGGAGTGTAACAACCAGTCAGGTGTTTTCCTTTGAAAACCAGCATCTGCAACGATGCTGAAAAAGTCGACCTTAAAAATATCACACTTCACTTTACCTCACGGATTTCCGTCTCTGTGAGGGCTTTTAAACAAGAGCGGAGCTAACACTTTAAAAACATCCCATAAAAAGGTCGCGTGCGGCCGGCCTGAAGCAGTCAGTCAGTCAGTCAGATGCAACGTAGAACTTCGTACGTAAGTACATCAGTTCATGTCGCCATACCACATCAACACAGAGATATAATTGTCAATTCAAATCCAATAGTAGAAGAGGTAGTAAAGGTATTAGAAGTAATCGGAGAGGTTAGGATTAGAAGATATTATTCATGAAGTATGATTAAATGAGATAAGTTTAGAAAGTAAAAACTAGAGGTGTTGAAGAATCCAGAAGATTAGGATTTGAGAGAACACAAAGAATAAATGCACTGGCGCCATTGCGAACGATTTTGAGCCATGTCATTCAAGGTCTCTAGCCATCGATTATTATCATCTCGCGGACCCCAACCAGGTAGTCGACAATTACCGACATGGCTAAGTCCACTAGTCAATGACTTCATGGATTTCTGACATGTTTTGGTCTGACCGCCCCTAGCTTTCTTCCAACCTATTCCTACACTACAAAACAAAGCTCGACGAGGGAGTCGCTGGTTAGGCATACGCAACACGTGTCCCAACCACCTCAACTGATGATGTTTCACCACTTCATCGATTGGTCTGCCATTCTTACCTAGTACCCGTTTCCTAATAACAGCGTTGCTCACTCGGTTGTCCCACGATATACGAGCAATGCTTCGAAGACACCTATGATCGAAAACCAATAACCGACGAGTATCTTCTACTCTCATTGGCCATGTTTCACAGCCATAAAGTAAGACGGAGCGAACTGCTGCACAGTACACTCGTCCTTTAGTCAGCAAACGGATATCTCGCCTACGCCATAAGTGACGCAGGTTGGCAAAAGCCAATCGAGCCTTCTCTATCCGTGCCGAGATTTCGTCAGTCAACAGGCCATCAAAACTGATGAGACTCCCCAGATAAGTGAAGCGGTCTACACGTTCGACTACTTCACTCCCTATCACTAGTTCAGGTGCCGTTGCAACCCAATCTTGAAGCAACATTTTGCATTTCGAGGGGGAAAACCGCATCCCGAACATGCTTGCATTGTTGCTTAGGGTAGTCAGAAGACTCTGCATTTTGTCAGCGTCTTCACCAAGTAGGACTATGTCATCGGCATATTCTAAGTCAATAAGCGAGCCACCTGGTAAAAGGTCTACTCCAGAAAATTCAGACGAGGATAAGGTTATTTCTAGGAGCATGTCTATGATAAAATTAAACAAGAATGGAGAGAGTGGACATCCCTGACGGACACCACTTGATGTAGAGAATTCCGGTGACAGTTCGCCATAAGCTCTCACTCGACCAGTGGTGTTTGAGTAGAGAGCTTGTATGAGGTTAATGTACTTATTTGGTACACCTTTCAATGACAGACACTGCCACAGAACCTCACGATCCACAGAGTCAGATGCCGCCTTAAGGTCCAGGAAAACAACTATTGTAGGACGCCTAAATGTGTGTCTGTGTTCCAAGACCTGTCGTAGTGTGAAAATGTGGTCTATACAGCCACGTCCAGGTCGAAAACCAGACTGGTTTTCTCGAGTCTGCTCTTCACGAGCTTTCGTTAAGCGTCGAAGTATTATTGAGGCCAATATTTTAGATATTATATTAGTTAGACTTATTCCCCTGTGATTGTCACAAGAAGACTTCTGTCCTTTCTTATAGATTGGGACAATCAGTGATTGAGACCAGTCAGATGGGATTATGTCCAGTTCCCAGATTCTACCTAAGATCTCAGTCAACCTAGCTGCTAAAACTGGACCACCATCCTTAAATATCTCAGGGGTCAGTCTATCAGGACCTGCAGCTCGTCCTCGCTTCAGATTTCCTAAAGCTTTTTCAACTTCATTAAGACTAGGGGGACTTAGGTCGATTCGCCATTCAGGATGACTGGAGATCGTGGGTAACCGAAGAGTGGCTCGAGGCCAGTTGAACTGATCCCTAAAGTGTTCTGCCCATCGATCCAGTCTCCTGGATTGAGAATAAATAATAGTCCCGTCATTTTCTGAGATAGTCTCGCTTACACTAGGATTCCTAATACCAGTTTCCTTGATAAGTCGGAAAAGTTGTCTACTGTTGCCTATCGCCGCTGCCTTTTCCATCGCTTTTGCTTTCGCCACTCACCACTGTTCGCGATCGTTACGTAGGCTTTTTATAAGTCTGCGCCTAAGTTGACTACGCTCTTCATCATGTTCAGAGCCAGGTGGGATGAGTTTTCGGGCATCCATCAGATCGGTGGATGCTACTGAGATCCACGGTTTCATTCTAGCCTTATGGTCAACCTTACTAGCAGATATCACTGCTGTTTCCACAGCCTTTTTGATATCATTCCATCCTGCTTCCGGATGGGAATCGCTTAATTGGTCGCCTAACTGTCTTTCTAGTTGTTCCTGAAATATATTTTTCGCCTTATTATCATTAAGTAAAACCCTAAGAGGCTTTCTTACGGTGTCTTTCCTACGCCCAGTAAGCTTCAAACAAATACGCGCTCGCACTAGGGCATGATCTGAATCTAGACATGTGCTCCAGAACGAGCGACAGTCCTCTATCGAACCCCTCCATCGGTGGCTGATGGCAATGTGATCTAGTTGAGTCCAACGTTGAGACGACTTTGGAGGTCGCCAGGTCAACAGATGTTTTTCCTTATGCCTAAAGTTAGTGTTTGCTAAGAATAGGCGGTTGTCTGAGCATATTTGCAACAGACGGTCACCATTGTCTGTTCTCTGAGCCGGGACACCATAACATCCACCTACGTGTCTCTCCTGCTCACTTAGTCTACCTACTTGAGCATTAAAGTCACCAGCCATTATTACTATATCAGAGCGCCTAGCTTTTTGGAGGAGGTCCGAAAGCTTTCTGTAAAACTCATCCTTAACCTCGTCTGAACTGCATTCAGTGGGGGCATAGGCAGATACGACGAAGAGGCAACGGCGATTGTCCCTATCTTTCCGAGTCCTTAATGTCCCGTTTAGTCGGACAGCGCACAATCGACTATCTACAGGGATCCAGTCAAGGAGAGATTGTTCTGCCCTACGACTCAATGCTATGCCTACGCCAGCAAGACCCCGGGAAGCAGCATCAGGGCTACCGGATACACGAAGAGTAAATCGAGCTGCTTCTTTATTTTGACATGGTGTGGTCAAGTGTATGACGTGACTCGGATCCTGTATGCGCGTTTCCGAGACGCAGCATACATCGATGGCACGAGATTCTAAAGTCCTAGCTAAGGAAGCCTGTTGCCCTATTTGACACAATGTCCGTACATTAAATGCTCCAACATGTAGTCTAGAGCGAGGTTTAAGGAGACCAGGAACGACGTTTCGCGAACTCGTATCGTCTGCATTAGCTGTGCACTGTGATGAATGAATGTGAGAAGAGTTAGTCGTGGAGATAAGAGAGGTACTAGGGGGTGTAGGAAGGATTTGATTTTGACCAATTTGGTCTCGCGTGCTGTTATGGGTATGAGGGAGGTTGTCACTTCCCGGCTGCCCACACCGTGGAAGGTTGTTTCTAGAGGAACCTGAAAAGGAAGATAGATTAGTGTTGGTGCGTGACCGCAGAGTCCAAGGGACAACTGCTTGAGGCCAGTCACGCATGGCCTTTTTATCAAATGTTTTTTGAGGATTAGCTCCGTTCTTAAAGGCCCTTAGTGGGCACCCTTACCCAAGGAGACGGAAATCCGTGAGGTAGGGGAGGTGTGACATTTTTAGGGCCGACCATTTCTAACCCTTCCTTCCTTGTGAGAAGGCAGCATCTCTGCAGATGCTGGTTGTCCGAGGGAAACACCTTACTGCTGTCACACCCCTCTGCAGTAGTCAGCAGTACGACTTCGCCCTCAGACCTTGGGTAGCTGCTTTTAGTCTCATCGTTCTCCAATCGACCTGCCTGGCATGGTAGAACCTTGAGGAACATATGTTCCAGCCAGTATAGCTCGGTTGGGTCATCACGATAGGCAAGCCCGACCACCACGTCAAGGTAGCAGCTACGGTCGGCCTGAAGCAGTTGTCCCTTAGGCTCTGTGGTCACGCTACCACGTCACTAAAACCAACAAAAGTCCGAATTCCTTTTCAGGCTCCTCAAGAAATACCCTTTCACGGTGTGGGCAAACGGGAAGTGACATAAGCTCTCATATCCGTAACAACACACGAGGTCACAATTAACTCTTTCTTTTTTGATAGAACAGTGAGAAGACGTAATTGATCTGAAAAATGTTGTGATGTGTTTTGCGCCCTATACATTTCGAACAATCTGGTCACACATATTTACTTGTCAAGGCATTTTATATGAAGATGAATAAATCAGTTAACGTCTTATTATTAGACAGAGACTAAAAGCAGTCATGGAGAGAGCATACAACGCTGCTAAACTGATTATCATTGAAAAGACTAAGCTCATTATTCCGCATAGGGCTAAACATTGCTCGAATAATTGCTTCACATCCGATTGCATTTATCAGTTTACATGTTTGTGTGGACACACATACATAGGGAGGAGTAATCGGACTTTGCAATCAAGGGTTGTGGAACATGTACCTAAGTGGCTTCAAAATCAGTTAACGTCAGATGAGCCGATTAGCGTTGGAAATAGAAAACCATGTTCATCGATTGCCAAACACATAATTGAGACAGGGCATAAGATTGACATCAAGACAGCCTTCAAACACATTGTATAGAAATGTTGAAGGACGAATTTTGAGGTTTATGGAGGCCTTGGCTATTAGAAAATTAAAACTCCCCTTATGTGTCCAGAAACAATTTGTCATAACCTTGAATTTACCTTGGTAATCTTTAAGCCTAGGGTAATGTGACAATTTTCCTACCCCTTCTTATTCTTTTCATATTACGTTAATTTTCTCTCTCCTTTATTTACAATTATCACCCTATGTCTATTTGAACTTTTATTTAATTGACCTTTTATTCATTTTCATATTAAATGCCTTGACAAGTAAATATGTGTGACCAGATTGTTCGAAATGTATAGCGCAAATACATCACATTTTTCAGATCAATTACGTCTTCTCACTGTTCTATCAAAACTTATAAAAGGGACTAATTGTTTCAACTCATTCTTACCGATATTTGTACTTGACTTTAACTTGAACGTGTGTTTGTATGTACGAACGCAAGTAATCCTAACTGGTTCCCTAAGTGGAAGTGAACTAAACAAGGCGTTAGAAGATGAAACCTATTACCAGTGAAGTTGTTAGGATATTCAACAAATATCCTAAGAGGATTATTTGTAAGTCTAATTCTATTGGTCAATTCTTATTGGTCGTCCTAACTCTCAATACCACTTTGAATGTTGTTTCTTATTGGTGGTCCCAACTATCAATGTCACAGAATTCGATGTTGTTTCCTATTCGAACTAATTGTATAAATACGCATTATCTGTAACGTTTTATAACCCGGGCCCAGATCCTTATCCTCTTGTGGATTCGGACCTCGTACTTTCTGGATATTTGTAGAATACACGTTCTACTTCATATCAAGTCTTCCGCTTTTACTCAATGGGGCCGGGGGGTTTGGTACACTCAGATTAGAGTAGTATGTCGTGTCACCGGATCATCGATCCTGGCTATCGTTTCGTTGACTAAGGTGAACACTTGTCATAGTTCAAACATCTCAAATGACGTGTTCACATGTATTCGTAACAGAAGTACATTTTTCTCTGAAAACAGTTAGAGGACAAACAAATAAGGAGAATAGAAAAGAAATATAACTACTATTATAAATGACATTTACTTACTGATGATAATGATAATAAAGTTGGCAATTCTTTTATTTGATATAATGGATGAACTCGAAATTTATTATTAGGATCATTCCATCTTTTGACGAAGATAAAGTAACAACAACAAATTGAACAATTAGAATTAATGAAGATCAAAGATTTTACATATTGTGAATCATTAATCAATCATTGTTAGACCTACGACATTAGAAACTTGGAAGCACTGAAAGACGGCCGTCTCGTCCTGGTATGTGACTGACTCATCACCGAGGTACATCTACGACTCCTGCTACTTGCAGGATTCGAACCCAGGGCCTTCGGTCTTGTGTGAGGGCGACTAATCCCTGCACTGCTGGGCCAGCATCTGACGGTGTTAATGTCTAACTCTGATCACTCTAGGGATTTTGCGCTAGTTACTGCAGACAACCGACAGAGGTTAAGCGTTCGCGCACAAGACCGAATTTTGTGCGATTAAACCCTGTGAAGAGCAGGAGTCGTGGGCGCGTTGTTATGATTGTAGTGACAATACAATTTAAGGAAGTTTATCAATCAACAATCAGTATCATAGTTAAGGAAGGTAATGAATAGAAGACATGCAAATTAGTTTGTTACACTATATATATATATACATATATGAAATCATGAATCGATCAATGTTAGACCACCATTAGAATCCTAGAAGCACTGAAGACTGTCGTTTCGTCCTGGTATGGGACTCATCGGCAGTGAGCATTCATGACTCCTGTAACTCGCAGGATTCAAACCCAGAACCACCGGCCTTGAGCGCCAAACGGCTGTCCAGTGCTTCCAGGTTTCTAAGACTAATCTAACAATGATTCATTCATGATTTCAAGGTGAAAGAATGACTAGTTTAAAAATGTATCTAACTGGGGTAAAGAGGTTTGAAGCTTAGTCAATGTAAATCAAACAATCATTTTTAAATTATATAAATTAACCCTTCTACTGTCAAAGGTAATTTTATATTAGTTTTCAGGAAAACCAAGGACACTAACCACGTGTTAGAACTTCAATCTGGACAGTTCGGCTCAATCCCGTGTTCAACCACACAAGTACGTGACACCCTGATGTGAACCATTCACACCATTTATATACACACTAGTACATATATATAGTGATTATTTCCGATCCATGATCGCGTCGTCAATCAATATGCACCACATGAACAGGCCAATTCGATCTACCCAGCTTACATGACTGTCACAAACTCATTATTATTAGCAATGGTGACAGGCAATACAACACCCTAATGGCCTGCAGGAATGTTTCAAAACAACCACCAGTGTCGATGAAATCGGTCGCCCTGCGGTGCGAACTACTTATAAGTAGTATATGACGTGAGTGTCAACGTAATGTCTGGCAGCAGAAGATAGGGGAAGATCAAGAAAGGAAGAGTTAGAACACAATGGAATTTGTATGAAACGCATGAATAGTGACAATGGATTGATGTTTTGCAACAGGAACATTTCAGTTTGATATGATGAACTGATATTTTGCAAATTAACTATTTACGATATGGTTTTCCTATTTTACTGAGTAACTCTGTAATTTTCGTTAAATACAATACGGTTGCCCCACCTGTGTTCTCGTTCACTACAGCCCTGCTAACCAATTTTGTATATGGACTGTTAGCAATACTTGCCAAAGCAATGCCAAGCCGATCCACAATGTTCACAGCGAACCTCTGGTCTCTCACAGGAAACCTTCAGCTCTATATAGGGGCAGTATAGCATATGGTATACACATAATATGGAATAGGATAGCAAGAGACGCAGCCCAGTTTGATGCGAATTGGGCTCCAACACACTTTGTCTCATGTCGGGTAAATACAAAAGTGAATGATCAATATTACACACACTATGTTAAATTGATTACACAGTTCTATTGATCGATTGATTACTCAACAGTTCTAAACGTAAAATACACTGCGAAACGACATTTGAAAATATATTCAAATTACAAAATAGACTAGAACAATCAGAATTTCTTACTCATTTTCATTGCCCACTTCAATCATCAAAAATAAATCCTTATCTTTTGTTATTCCAATGGTATTTTCTAGAATGGATTCACCTACAAAAATAGTATTGAAAAAAAAACAAACTGTTACGCATGGCATGTGAACACGTCATTTGAGATGCTTGAACGTCGAGTTTACATTGGGTCAGTAAAAGAAAGCGAGGATCCGGTGACACGACAGGCTACTCTAATCCGATTGTCCATACCCCCCCGCCCCCATTGAGTAAAAGAAGAAGACTTGATATGAAGTAGAACCTGTATTCTAAAAGGATCCAGAGAGGTATGAGGTCTGAGTCCAGAAGAGAATCAGTATCTCGGACTAGGAATCTGGGTCCGAGTCATAAAACGTTACAGATAATGCGTATTTATACAACATTTGAAGTCTGTGACATTGACAGTTAGGACGACCAATAGGAAACAAGATTTGAAGCGACACTGATAGTCTGGACGACCAATAAGAAACAACATTTGAAGTCTGTGACATTGATAGCTAACACGACCAATAAGAATCGACCAATAAACTTAGACTTCCAAAAATAATTTTCTTAGGATATTTGACACAAACAACAAACACAATGATTCGAAAAAAAATCTTTTCGTCGTAGGTGTCTTCAAGGTACTCTTCACCTACTGAACGAATGAGCTACATTGAAGTTCATAATGTTAAACAGATTAGGTGGCAGATATTCGCTGTTCGTTCATTCAGTTTCGTACAAAATACCCGCTCTTACGAGAAGGTAGTGAGTAGAACTTCCATGATAAAGGCTATATAGACGTGATCATATGAGGAAGAGCATACTCTCAACTCTGTCTGGAGCTCCTCTGAGGCTACTGCCGGACCCAAGTCTGGATAAAAGAGGAGTGTTGGGCGTGGGGTTAGCGACTCCATCCCGTAGGAAATGAACTCGCTAAAAAAAACTCTAACCATAAAAAATAATACGAACTATTTAAACTTTGCCCTGGGAGTTAGAAGGTCTTGATTTATGAGAGTTATAACGTCTCATGATGAAACCTGAGTTCATTCGGAAGTCAGGAGGCCGATATCCGCTTCTGATAAACAGAGCAACCATTAATTTAGGTAGAGATTGAGACAGACATAATAAAAATGTACAACAATTGGACAGAACTAGAAAGGAAGGTCCAGGACAGAGTAGGTTGGAGAATGCTAGTCGACGGCTTGTGCTAAATTGGGAGTAACGGGCTTAAGTAAGTAACAGTGGACTCTCGGCCTCACCAAAGCATATGAAGACTAAGAAAACAAGGCTTCTCAAAAGTCATTCATAAAAAATTCAATCAAATCATCTATTTTTTTTGAGGAAAAATCAATAAACATATGAGATGTATCTCTTTACACTATATATTATTCAAAAATATAAACATACATACATTTACAACAATCGGCTGACCAACTATCCCCTGTTGTCATATCAGTTGAACCAGAGAAATAAACAAAAACATGACATCCTTTTTGATGAGCTGTTTCAATTTGACTAGTCAAATCATCAATGGATTGTACTAACAATTGGTCGGCTGACATTTTTCTACAAAAACCAAAATGTTCAAAAACAAATAAACAAAGTGTGAGTGTGTATCGTATTCGATCGATTCAACGTTTCAATTGTTCAACAATCTTAATGATTCAAACAAACGATCAATATCAAATGATAATTGCACAATGTTCTTTCTGTGAGAGATATGAGGAATGGATGGTTGTTGCTATTTGGTTACCTATAACGAAGGAGGAATGTTTCTTGAAATGCTTTAGTCAGTCAGTCAGTCAGATGCAACGTAGAACTTCGTACGTACGTAAAAACATCAGTTCATGTTGCCAAATCACACATTAGCACAGAGAGATGTAATTGTCAATTCAAATACAATTGTAGTAGAGGTAGTAAAGGTATTAGAAGTAATCAGAGAGGTTAGGATTAGAAGATATTATTCAAGAAGTATAATTCAGTGAGATAAGTTTAGAAAGACAAAACTAGAGGTGTTGAAGAATCCAGAAGATTAGGATTTGAGAGAACACAAAGAATAATGGCAGCGACAGTCAGATGCAACGTAGAACTTCGTTCGTAAGTTCAATGCCTTAGAAAGAAACTGGATTAAGAATGGTCTTTAAAGCAAAGTGATTAAAATGTTCAAAGAACAGCTGTTTAAGGTCATTCACATATAATTCTTTTCAAATGGTCTCATAGCAGTTAGCTCCAAACGTTTAAGGGTATTATCGGTAGACTGAAGTGTCACTCTAAGTGTCGACCTTTTGTAAACCCTCTATTCTCATTGTGTGGAAACCGTGAAACTGCTGGCTATCTGAAAGAAATACTTTACTCTTATAACACTAATGTGCTACGTCTCCCTTAGATTACTAACTTCTTAGTTTATCTTCTAACTTTCTCTCTTCAATCAACCTATCTAACATGACATAACCTGAAAAAGTGAATGATCCAGTCAAGTCAACATGATAAACGAACCTAACACTAATAACAGAATAACAGTTACGCTGTGAAGAGACGATAATGTCATGTACAGAAAAAAAGTGAATTGTCAGCATAGATGTAACATGAGCACATGGATATTTTGGCTAATATCACACAGAAAAGACAACAATTGAAAGTTATATTATTGAATTTAAAAACAATCGAATTCAATTGTCTTGCTTGGAGGTCGTGGACGTTCACTGCTGATGAGTCTCATACTAGAAAGAAACGACCGTCAAGTGCTCCCGGGTTTCCGAAGGCGGTCTAACATTGATCGATTCATGACTTCAATAAAACTCAACCATCTCCACAGCCCTATAATAATAGTGAACTTATTACTAATCACTGATTCCCATGGGATTGCATCGCCAAACGTTGCTCTATTGACTTGTGAATTAAACCTCAAGGTAAGAAAGATTCGAGTGGTGGTCTCCTTCAGACAAAAAGTTGATGTTAAAAGACATCAATAACTTGAACATAGACTGATCACGAACAACAAACAAATAGATGTTGTAACGGATATTTACTGAACACTCCTTTTATTATTATTATTATTATTATCATCATCAAAGAACCAATGTCATATTCAGTTTGGGATTATTTTTTTTTAAGACCTAATCACATGTTGCGGCACAATATTCCCGCATAAACGCATACACAAAGCTAAATGGATTTCACCGGACCACACTACTCCTAACCGAATCGACCATATCTGTATCAAAAAAACGTTCAGAAGGACCATGGAGGATGTGAGAATCAAGAGAGGAGCTGACATAGCATCAGATCACCACTTGCTGATCGCCAAAATGAAACTGAAACTAAAGAAGCACTGGACAACGGGACAGACAACATCACACAAGTTTAATACGGCCTTTCTTCGGGAAACCGTAAAACTCAACAAATTCAGGATAGCCCTCACCAATAGGTTCCAGGCCTTGCACGATATACTCAATGGAGAGGAAGATACATTTGAGAACAATTGGAAAGGGATTAAGGAGGCAATCACTTCAACATGTCAGGAGGTCCTTGGTCACAAGAAGTACTATCACAAGGAATGGATCTCTGTTGATACTCTCGCAAAAATTGAAGACAGGAGGAACAAGAAAGCAGCAATCAATGTCAGCCGAACAAGAGCGGAGAAAGTTACCGCACAAGCTACATACACAGAAGCAAACAGGGAAGTGAAGAAGAGCATCAAAGCTGACAAACGAAAACATGTGGAAGATCTGGCAATGACGGCGGAAAAGGCTGCAAGAGAAGGAAACTTGAGACAATTGTACGAAACAATAAAGAAGCTGGCCGGAAACTATCGTAAACCAGAACGACCCGTGAGAAGCAAGGAAGGCAAAGTAATCAGCAACACTGAACAACAGCGAAATAGGTGGGTAGAGCACTTTAAGGAACTATTGAATCGACCAGTTCCACTGAACACACCCAACATCGAAGCAGCATCCACGGATCTCCCAATTATTATTGACGTAACTACGATTCAGGAGATCAGTACGGCCATCAGACAAATCAAGAACGGCAAATCAGCAGGACCAGACAACATTCCAGCAGAGGCAATGGAAGCACATGTAGAAGCAACTGCAAAAATATTTCACATCCTCTTCAAAAAGATTTGGGATGAGGAACAAGTACCATCAGATTGGAAAGAAGGATACCTGATCAAAATACCAAAGAAAGGCGATCTCAACAAGTGTAAGAACTACAGAGGCATCACTCTTCTTTCAATACCAGGCAGTCTTCAACGGGGTATTGTTAAACAGAATGAAGGACTTCGTAAACGCCCAACTTCGAGATCAACAGGCCGGATTTCGTAAGGATCGATCGTGTACTGACCAAATTGCTACACTACGGATCATTATGGAACAATCAATTGAATGGAACTCACCATTCTACATCAACTTCATCGACTACGAGAAAGCATTCGATAGCGTGGATAGGAAAACACTGTGGAGGCTTCTTTGACACTACGGTGTGCCTAAGAAAATAGTCAACATCATACGGAATTCTTATGATGGATTCAACTGCAAAATCGTGCACGGAGGTCAGCTGACAGACTCTTTTGAGGTGAAGACCGGTGTCAGGCAAGGTTGCTTACTCTCACCCTTTCTCTTTCTCCTGGTCATCTGGAGGGAAACACGGAATCCAATGGACAGCTAGACGATCTGGACTTCGCAGATGATCTGGCTCTTCTATCGCACACGCTACAACAAATGCAAGAGAAGACGACCAGAGTAGCAGCAGCCTCTGCAGCGGTAGGTCTCAACATACATAAAGGAAAAAGAAAAACTCTCCGATGCAACACAACATGCATCAATCAAATCACTCTCGATGGAGATGCCTTGGAGGACGTTAACACCTTCACATATCTGGGCAGCGTCATCGATAATCAAGGTGGATCCGATGCAGATGTGAGGGCGCGGATCGGCAAAGCAAGGGCTGCATTTCTACAATTGAACAACATCTGAAACTCCAAAAAAATGTCAATCAACACCAAAATCAGGATTTTCAATACAAATGTCAAGACAGTTCTACTGTATGGAGCGGAAACATGGAGAACTACCGAAGCCATCATCCAGAAGATACAAATGTTTATTAACAGTTGTCTACGCAAAATACTTCGTATTCGTTGGCCAGACACCATCAGCAACAACGAACTGTAGGAGAGAACAAACCAGATTCCAGCGGAAGAAGTGGATAGGACACACATTACGAAAAGCACGTAACTGAGTCACAAGACAAGCCCTCACAAGTGGAACCCTCAAGGTAAAAGGAAAAGAGGAAGGCCAAAGAATACATTACGCCGAGAAATAGAGAAAGATATGAGAGGAATGAACAAACATTGGACAGAACTGGAGAGAGAAGCCCAGGACAGAGTTGGTTGGAGAAAACTGGTGGGCAGCCTATGCTTCATTGGGGGTAACAGGCGTAAGTAAGTAAGTAAGTAATCACATGTAGAAAAATTGTGGCACCTCAGGCAATGAGTCAGTAGTGCGTATAACGTATCCTAACCAATTCAATTAATGCAGTATTATTTGGGTGGTATCACTTCTTGAATAATATCTCCGAACCCCGATTATACCACCATGGGATTTGAATTGACAATTGCATCTGTGTGCCAATGTGGTATGGCAAGTTGAACTGCTGTATGTACGTACGAAGTTCTATGTTGTAGCCGGCTGACTGACTGAGCCATATCACTATTGTAGAACTAGACTTTTGGGTTTCAGTATAACTTACTTGATGGTGGTTCGGCCGTAAGCAGAGTGTGATTCAAAGATACCTAATCATATCATCTACTTCAGTAGGGAACATTTACCGATTCTAATGTAAAAAAGAGGGGAAACTTCTGTAAAGCAACAACACATCAGAACTAATCAGAATTACAAAATAATCCTCCTTAATGTGTGTGCAAATAAAGTTTCAGTGCAGACCAATAATCCTACAGTAAAATTTTACATCCTAAAACATTGTCGTGTCAATCAAAGAAAGTAGTAGAAGCATAATAAAACATTTCTTATGATAAGAAAATGAAACTTGCATATTGGTTGTCATGATAAAAATTTAACTTTTTAAAACAACACGGATTATCAATTGTGAATTGAATTCATGGATTAATCATTATTAGACCACTATTAGAAACCTGAAAGCACTGGATAGCTGTTCCGTCCTAGTGTGGAACTCCTCGGTAGTGCGCATCCACAACCCTCGCCCATGGGAGTCGAACCCAGGAACTTTGGTCTGGCTCGTGGAGGTTTAACTCTCTAGACCACCACCAGTGTTCATGTCTAACTTTGATTAATCAACCTCATGAATTCGGTAGATAACTGCCTAGACCCGACAGGGTTGAACTCCATTGGTCACTACTTATCACTAGAAGTTGGAGAAACTTCTTCACAGACCTAACCTACTCATGAACACATAGTGGATGTACACTATTGATGAGTCCCATATACTGGAACCAAGCACTGATTCACTACACTTTAACTCCAGACATGAACAACACTCAGCACACTCACACATACGTATACACAAAGGAACACGTAACACTGTTCAATCGACGAAAATGACAACAGACGCAACCGCAGCACGCACAACAACAGGCACAACAACACAATCACTCGGAATCAGAGAAGAAAACAGAAAAAAGAATCAAGTTCACATTTTAAATGCATTATTTTTATAATTTCTAATAACTGTTTTTTCTGTAATTAACAAATTATACAGAGAGAGTATATAAATATATGTATATATATATATATATATATATATATATATATAATATGTAATGTAATATATAAAGTGTATATAAATAGATTCACTGAATAAATTTGAAAAGTAACAATACAACTTGTATTCTAAAAACAATGTTCTAAATTGTTTTATTTTTCTTTAGAAAAAAAAAGAAACTTCTCTTTCCTAATTGTTGATTATGAAATAAAAAAAATTAGTTGGTAAATTGTGGTTTTGATCAGCCCATTTGAAATATTATTATACATAGTGTACCTAAACGTGGATATCAATAGATTGATAGATAGTGTGTGTGTGTGTCTGTGTGTGTACAAAGCGCGACACAGTGATTGTGAATAGTTTCATACGGATGAAATCAATGCGAGAAATAATAATGTAAAAAGAATCACTGTTTGTGTTGCGTGCGTGCGCGCGTGTGTGTACATAGTTGTATGTGCAGTCTCAACAAGTCATGATAATAACAGTAGTGATAATAATCATGGTGGTTAGTAGTTAATTACCGTTCAAGTACACACACACAAAAATGATGTGACAACATAACAATGACAAATAAAAATACTCGTCTCAAGTAACACAAACACACATCAATAATAATAATCATAACCGGTTGAAATAAATCATGGATAGCGAGCGCGCGCGCGAGAGAGAGAGTAATGCGGTGGTCGATCGGTCGGTTAACAAGGCGAAATCAATAAAACAAAGATGCGAAAAAGTACAATGATTCATAGATAGATAGATCAAATGTGAACACACAAATATGAATGATAAAATCAACAAGACACAACACAACACAACAACACAATTGTACACAATGAAAAAAATGTTCGAATGAGAGAATGATTATTATGCATGCAATGTATCATACAATATTTATATATATAAAGAGAGAGATGCATGTCCATAAGAATGACTCTTGGAACATTGAACAAATTCAATTGTCAAAACAATTTAAACAACAGTATGTTTGTATGTATAAATAGTAGTAATAATCGCAGCAGAAGCAACAATATTCTATGTACAATATGAAATTGGAAAATATTAAAAACCGCGCGCGCGCGAGAGAGAGAGAAATAATAAGATTCAACTGTTCAATTGTTCAATATACAAACACATTCACAATATGAATAACTTTACAAGGAGAATACATGTCTTGTCTCACTTAAAAAATAATCTTCTCCATTATCTTATAAGGAAACGACAGGCGAATAATACTTGGGAGCCCTCCGCTGTCGTCTCCTCATCATCATCGCCGTATCATTAAAATTGTGGAAAATGAAAATTAGGAAACGCTTGTGAATGTAAATGATTAAACATTGACGACGACGACGCCGCCACCGACGGAGACGAGGATGCAGCCAGTGCGGAATTCGTCAAACTGTGATGATGCTGATGTTGTTGTTGCTGCTGGTGTTGTTGTAACAGCTGCTGCTGTTGTAGATGATGTTGTTGGCGTTGTTGTTGTTGTGCCTGTTGAAGTTGCAGCTGTTGTTGATGTTCTTTTGCAGCAGCAGCCAATTGAAATTGTTGATAATGTTGTATCGTCGCAGTTGGATCAAACGATGCTGCTGATACGGTCGAACGGAAATTCGGCAAATTTCTTTCTGGATTTGTTTGATGAGTATTATGTGTAGTGGAATTACCGCTGGCCGCATTATTTAAATGATTTTGATGATGATTCTGAGCGAAATATTGTTGCATTGCTGCAGCAACAGCATGTGATGGTGTTTGTTCAGCATGGAACGCCGTTGCAGCACGTTGTAAACCGCCTAACGAAGATGATGATGATGATGGCGATGTGAGTTGAGGACGTTGATTTGTCAGCTGAGTAAAATAATCTTGCATCATTGATACATGATTTTGTAAGGAATTATTTGTATGATGATGATGATGATGGCTACCACTAGTGGAGGATAAATTAAGATGTTGTTGAGCATGGTTGTTATTACTACTACTGTTACTAGTATTATTAGTAGTATTAGTATTCATATCATGACTGATATTATTCAATCGTGCTGCATTCGCCGCATAAACAGACGGATATAAAGAATGATTATTATTATTACTACTAGTATTGCTGTTATTATTAGAAATTGTAGCAGACAAAGCCGTTTGTCGTGCAATATCTTCAGCAGTACGTAAATACTGTTGATGTTGTTGTTGGAGAAGCTGCTGCTGATGTTGTTGTTGTTGTAATTGACGATGAACAGCAGATGATAAAGAGGCTGATGATGATGGTGTTGACAAAGTAGAAGAAGAACTAAGAACATTTTGATTTTGATAATATGGTAAACTGACAGTCGGCTGATAATTAGGAAAACTTTTCTTATCATCCAATTGAAATGATTCTGGACGAAATCGATTTGTGGATTGTAGTACATTGTTAGTATTCGAATCATTGCTATTCGTTGTTGTTGATGATGATGCCGTAGTAATAGAAGCACCAGCAGTTGCTGCAGCTGTAGTTCGCAATGATGTATTCAAACGACAATTACAACCTGTAACAATAGTACGTCCACATTGTAAACAACATGGCCATGATAAATCAACTTGTTGTGGTGTACGTTGTACTTGACTACTACCACTGCTACTACTACTACTGTTACTATTGCAGAAAGAATCTTGTGAAGAAAATAATTGATTAGGATAAGTTAAACTAGTATTATTATTACTACGATCATCTTTTGTATTACTGCCAGTATCATGTCGATTCATCTGTTGTGAGGGCGGCGGCGGCTGCTGATGTTGTTGCTGTTGTTGATAATTCGACAATTCTGTATTGTACAATTGTCGAGAATCTTTTCGATTCAAATCACCAGTAAAAGTTTCATTCGATGAATGAGCACGTTTCGGTGAGATAGTCGTGGTCGCCGTCGTCGTCAATGATTGTAAGAATTGCGGATCTAATCGATTATCATTCTTTGTTGAAGTGAGAGAATCGGTGCGACTAACAGATGATAATTGATAATTATTGGCATTCAATTGATGATATGATTGAGAATAATTAAATGGTTGACTGTTGTTATTGTTGTTAGCATATGGGACAGTGGAACTGGGATGAGTATTTTCGGAGTTATTATTACTATTATTATTATTATTATCATTGTATCTAGATTGGTTAGCATTGGTACTCGTAGTTGAATAAGATAATTTTTGCACAGTTTGAGAATGTTGCTGTGAATTTGCATCATATGGTGAAGTAAATGTTGTAGGATGTGTTGCATCAGTAGTAGTAGTACCAGTGGTAGTAGGGATTGTAGAAGAATTTCGAGAATCCTTTGTACTGTTCTGGGTAGTAGTAGTAGTAGTAGTAGCAGTAGTAGGGGCAGTGACAGTAAGCGGAGTATTCAACATCGTTGTTGTTGTTGTAGAACTACTCACAGTAGTAGTAGCAGAAGTAGTAGTAGTAGTTTCTTGTCCATCCACCAAAGAAGAAGAATTATTTTCACCAGGGACTGAATTGTTATTTGCTGTTGTTGTTGTTGTTGTCGTGGTTCCACTAGTTTTAACAATAAACAAATCACCTGTTCGACTAATACGTAAATATTTCGCTTTTGGTGTTTGTATCACTTCAAGTACTTCACCTTTTGGGATTTTACGTTGTGTAGTTGTTGCATTGGTTGTGGACGGGAAAAATAAATCTAAATATATCATCAAAATAAATAAAATTTTAAAGTTGAGTTATTATTATTTTTTGTAATAAATAGAGATCATATATGAACATATTGTTACACCTGCACGTAAACACGTCAACTTGATATACTTGAACTAGTACGAGTTTACCCCTTAGTCGGAAAACGAGAGCGAGGAGAGAGGATCCGGTGACATGACATGCTACTCAAATCTGATTATTCCAACCCTCATATTGAGTGAAAATAAGAAGACAAGACTTGAATGTGAAGTAGGACCTGTATTCTACAAGCATCCAGAAAGTATGAGGTCCGAGTACAGAAGAGAATCAGGATCCCAGACTAGGGATCCGGGACCGAGCCCTGGTCCTGGTCATAAAACGTTACACATAATGCGTATTTATACATTTTGGTCGAATAGGAGAGAGCATCGAAGTCTGTGCCATTGACACTTAAGACGACCAAGAGGAAGTAACATTTGAAGTGACATGGATAGTCAGGACAACCAATAAGTAACAACATTAGAGCACGTGAAATCGATATCTAAGACGACCATAAAATTGATCAATAATTCTCTTAGGATATCCTAACACATATATATATCCGGTCTAGTTTGGTCTGAGCAGAGCAATGACCAAGGACTATATTGCAACCAGTGCTCAGGGGTTGACATAACATTTACTGCGGTGTGAAGATAAAGGATTACATTGTCGATTGACGACTTTTATGATAAGCTGATTTGACTACTCCTCCACAGTTATTCAGTCCAACTGATACCATTCGGCTATGATCTAGGGTAAACACATAGGAGCATATAGACTTCGATCAACGGACTTTATCTACACATAAAATGTATACTTGCGTGTGAAAGCTTTTATGCCTACATACATTCAAAGAATGAGTAAACCTAGTCTAAACATTCTACATTATGTTTGTATATAAGGTATACCATGTTGGTGAATTCGAAGGAATAACCCAGTTCCAATCCAATGATGAACAGGATACTGAGGGAACAAATGATGTATGAAGATTTCATAGATAATCTTTTCGAAATCATGAACCGATCAATGTTAGACAACCATTAGAAATCTGGAAGCACTGAAAGACTGCCGTTTCATTCTCGTATGTGACTCATTAGTAGCAATCAGGATCCACGACTCCTGCCACCCACAGGATTCGAACCCAGGACATTCTATATTGCGCGCGAATGCCTAACCTCTGGACCGACATCCAACAGTGTTAATATCTAACTCTGATCAATTAAGGGAATTTTGCGAGGCCTCACCCATTTTTCTTCGGTAGTTACTACCTACACCCACCAGGGTTGAATTCCACTGGTCACGTCTTCACACTAAAACTCCGAAAATTTCCTCACGAAGCTAGTCACTAATGAGCACATTGTACGAGTTGTTCAATTAGACTGACGGAGATCATCAATTAATCATTTTTAAACAATCATTAGAAACCTGGAAGCATTGAACTGCTGTTGTGTAAAAACACTGAACTCCATAACCCTAATTAACATAAAATTTAACCTGAATTTTCGATGAATTCATAGACTGATGTCATATTTTGGTTTGGGCGCTCTTAGCTTTTTTCCCAATCCCTACTTCAATAACTAAGACAGCATTGCCCACCGAGATAGACGGTGAAGATTCATCACTTTATCGATTGACTTTCCAAAAAATATCACTGAAATACTAACAGTAATATAGGAAGATATTTACTGATTAGGGAACGGATAAAAACTTCAACACTATGATCGTTATTTTCCCTTTTGAATGATAATAGACTGTACATCAAAGTAGTTGAGAAAAGCAATTGATAGAAAGTATGTTTTTTAGTACGACAGTAGATAAGTACTATTTCAATTTTTTACAGATTTGAATAATAATAATAATGATGATAAGCCATTGATGACTAGTAAATACAGTAAAGTAAACAGATTGCAACTAATATTGTATTACGGGGTTGTGAAGATTGTTAAGTTACACATTTTCGAAACCATGAATCGATCAATGTTAGACCACCATTACAAACCTGGAAGCACTGGACGGCCGTTTCGTCCTGGTATGGGACTCCCTAGCATGGTTTCAAAAATGTGAGGAATCTTCTCCGAGTTCTAGTGGGAAGACGTGACCAGTGAAGTTCAACCTGTTCGGGTGTAGACAGTGTCTGCCGAAGACTGTGTATGAGGTTGCGCAACTCCATGAATTTGACCAAGTTAGACATTAACACCATTACATACCGGCTCAGTGGTCTAACAGTTAGGGTGGTCGCGCACAATACCGAAGGTCCTGGGTTCGAATCCTGCGGGGTGCAGGAGTCGTGGATGCGCACTGCTGAGCAGTCCCATACCAGGACGAGACGGCCGTTCATTGCTTCCAGGTTTCTAATGGTGGTCTAACATTGATCGATTCATGGTTTCAAAAATGAGTAACTTAACAATTTTCACAACCCCTGTAGTGCAAATTGTAATATAAGTCAATTCATTGATTGAGAAAGTCAGCCAGCTACAACGTAGAACTTTGTGCTTGCATACATCGATTGTAGTCAAAAAAGTGAATACAAGACAATTGTGTCACGAGACAAGCTATAACTTGGATTCCTCAAGGTAAGTGGAAAATTGAAAGACTGAAGAACATATTGCACCAGGAGTCGGAAGCAGACATTAAAAGATTGTGTAGGAATTGGGAACAATAGGAAAAAATAGATTTAGTTAGAAGTTGCTGGCCGGCGGCTTATGCTCTCCTCGACGAGGGGCAACAGGTGTAAGAAAGTAAAAACAAATAAGCCCAGCCCAAAAACAACTTTTTAAAAAATCATTTTTCAAAAAGAAACTAAACGATCAACTAACTGAACAGAATAAAAAACCTTACAGGACAATTCGCACTAGGCACCGCTACTGTCATTAAGTTGTAAAAAATGGCAAAGTGAACGCGCGCTGGAAATATTGATTAGCACTGATTATTAGTTTTAACTGTTTTTATTGACCAATTTCATTTGTAAAAACTACTTAATCTGGAATGAAAATGATGAAAAATACGGAGGCTAGTAAGCAGTTGTTATTCAATGACAGTGCACGAACCTCTTTCAAAACATAAAATATTGTTCTCTGAAACTTGACAAACACAATAGTTGTGAGTGTGTAGTTTTTGGCTTAACTGAGGATGAGATGGTGCCTGAGGAGATAGTGACATCGTAAAAAATACACTTCCTTGAACATGTCAAACCAAAGGTACGATAATGATGTGTGATTGTGTCAAAGAGTGAATAAACTGGGCAGTAGACCATATCGCATTATATCACGCTTTCAAAACGTGGCCTACGTAGGCATTTGAACATTAGCTGTGTGCAATGGGATAACCAAGAGTGGTAATATAACATAAGTTATGGTATATTGGATACTACTTGCAAGTAGCATGCAGCGTAGTGTCACACAAAAGTTAATGCCAGAGAGAAGAGCGTCTGTTTACAAAGTATGATGGCACGATCAAATATATACTACAGCACAAGTCAATATATATTTCAATCCGCAGCTAACACAGGAGTGTACTGTATAAAGGTTATCATATCAAGACAAGGTAATTAGCAGTACCACTCCGAGTTTCAATGAAAGATATTAACTAGTTGAAATAGAACGCCAGTTAATGATAAATAAATGGAAACAAACCCTCAAGGCAAAAGGAAAAGAGGAAGGCCAATGAACACATTACGCCGAGAAATAGAGAAATACATGAGAGGAATGAACAAACATTGGACAGAACTAGAAATGGAAGCCCAGGATAGAGTTGGTTGGACAAAACTGGTGGGCGGCCTATGCTCCATTGGGGGTAACAGGCGAAAGTAAGTAATGGAAACAATTACTATCTATAATCAGAGATCTAAAATGACATAACATAAATGTAATTCCTACACTTTTCTCTAACTCTATTTAAATTGTGAGTTTTTCAAAGGTTCATTTTTTTACATTCATGATGTCCTCATTACATTGGTTCGAAAGGTACAGAGTGATTGTATCAGCTTCTAAGCGTGCAGGGTGCTACTCATAAGGTGGTCGTCTATATGTAGTTTGCCGTGGCGTATCACCTAGATGTTCTCAGAGAGGAGTGTCAGGAGATAGAAGAAATGCATGGCGCAATCAGTGTATATATACAGAAGACTAAAAGAGTTATGTGTGTGTGTGTGAGAGAGAGAAGATAGTCAGAAACCGGCGGCTTTTATCATGAATAGCATTTTTTTTAAAAAGAATATATACACATATAATTTGTGCATAAAGACAGATACAACGCAGAACTTCGTACGTAAGTACATCAGTTCAGGTTGCCATACCACATCAGCACAGAGACGCAACTGTCACTTCCAATCCAAGAGTGATAGCGATAATAGAAGTATTAGCAGTAATGGAGAAGATTAGGGAGCGAACATGTGATTCGAGAAGTATAATTCAGTAAGATAAATTTAGAAGGAGAAAGATGGAGATCACGAAGAATTCAGAAGGTTAGAATTCCATCGAACACAAAGAGTGGATGCACCTGCGCCATTGCAAACGATTCTGAGCCATGTCATTTAAGGTCTCTAATCAACGGTGACTATCGTCTCGCGGACCTCAACCAAGTAGCCTAAATCTACCAACATGACTCAGTCCACTTATCAGCGACTTCATGCATTTCTGCCATGTTTTGAGCTGGCCGCCCCCTAGCTTATTTCCAATCTCCTCCTACACGACGAAACACAGCTTTGTCAAGACAGTCGAAGGTTGGGCCTACGTAACCCATGTTCCAACCACCTCAAAATGCTTTATTCATTAAAAAATAATATTTTCTTTGATTGAAAAAAGTCACTAATATAAAAGTATAGATTACATATATATTTATATATTTATAGTCACAAAATCATAAGTAATTGTTATACTCACCAGTATTGGCTACAATTCTTGTCACTTTACAATCAGGAGATTCAATGATTTTATCTAGAGAAAAACAAAAGACAAATTGATGAAGTTGTGACATTTTTAGTACGAGATGTAACTGAATATTACATGATTTCAATGAAACTTACTCAATAATCAATCTCTCTATATAACCTCCTATAATAAACATTAACATGTGCTCACTAGTGACTAGCTCTTAAAGAGAATTTTCAAAATTCTAATGTGAAGTAGCCGTGACCGGTGGAGTTCAACAGAATAAAGTGTGAGGCACTTATCTACTTGAAGGACCTGAAAAGGAAGATAGATTAGTGTTGATCTTAACGACCTGGGAGCGTGACCGCAGAGTCCAAGGAACAACTGCTTCAGGCCGGTCACGCACGGCCTTTTGATGAGAAGTTTCTTGAGTATTAGCTCCGCTCTTGAAAGCCCTTAGTTGGTACTCTTACCGCCGGAGATGGAAATCCGTGAGGTAGGGTGAGGAGGTGTGACATTTTTAGGGTCGACCTTTTCTAACCCTTCCTTCCTTGTGAGAAGGCAGCATCGCTGCAGATGCTGGTTGTCCGAGGGAAACACCTTACTGCTGTCACAGCTCTCTACAATCAGTCAGCAGTACGACTTCGCTCTCAGACCTTGAGTAGCTGCTTTTAGTCTGATCGTTCTCGAATCGACCTGCCTGGAATGGTAGGACCTTCAGGAACATATGTTGCAGCCAATATAGCTAGGTTGGGTCATCACGACAGGCAAGCCCGACCACCACATCAAGGTAGCAGCTTCGGTCTACTGAAGACAATGGATGACGGTCGTGCAACACTGTGGATTGCTTGAAGTTATACATTAATACCACTGGATGCTGACTCAGTAGTTAAAAATTTAGGCATGCACAGATGACACCGAAGATCTGCGGTTCGATTACCACTTGCGAGCTCATGGATGTGTAATGCCGATAAGTCGCATACTAAGACGAAACGGTCATTCAGTGATTCCAGGTTTCTAATGGTGGTCTAACATTAACCCACTTAGAGAAAAACTAAGTCAATGTGATATTCACCTTGAAATCATCAATCGATCAATCATTGTTAGACTACCATTAGAAAAAAAACACCTGGAAGCATTGAAAGACGGCCGTTTCGTCCTAGTATAGGACTCATCAACAATGTACATCCATGACACCTGCTACTTGCAGGATTCCGACCCAGGTCAAGAGAAATTTCAAGGATATTAAAACATCTGGTGGATGAATCCAACTATTCCATTAAATCTGTCACACAATTCTTGGATAAACTCAAAGGGATTCAAATCGACAACGACGAGACGATGATATCCTTCGACGTAATAGCCTTATTCATCTCAATAGAGCCAAGCTTAGCTAAAGAAACTCTTTCCCTGCTCCTCATCAACGACACAAATCTACACAAACATACAAAGCTTCAGAGTCAAAGTCTGCTTGAACTCATCGATCTATGTATTTTCAATTCAACAACAGAGTCTACGAACAAACACAATAGAGATCTAATATAAAGATAACGACGCCTACAAACGAAACACTCTGCTTGCATCAATAATCATAGGAAAATTATTCAATCGGTTAGCAGAAAAAGGAAAACTTACTTAAACCATCAGGTTTTGTTGTATAACCACAACGTCGACGTGCTTCATCTAAATCTTTTTGTAACATTCTTAGACGTGCTTGTCGATCAACTTGACGCATAGCATCTAGTGCAGCCATTCCACTTGTATAAGTTGGTCGATAATTAATGGTACTTCGTGAAAGGATATTAGGTGTACGAGAATTATAAAAGCTAGATGGAAAAAAACAGTAATAAATGAAAGAAAAAATGTTGATAAATACACTATGTTTGCTGTGTGAACGCTTGTTAATGATTCCCTAGACAAATTCCATAACCTTATACTATCGCTATTCTAATTTGATCGTGAATAGTTTGGTCTCGTGTGCTGTTACGGGTTATGAGGGCGGATGTCACTTTCCGATTGGCGACAACGTGAAAGGGTATTTCTTGATGAACCTGTATAGGAAATTGGATTAGTGTCGGTCTTATTGACCTGCGGACGTGACCGCAGAGCCCAAGGGACAACTGCTTGAAGTCCGTCACGCATGGCCTTTTGATGGGAAGATTGTTTTGTGTTAGCTCCGCTCTTCAGACGGCCTTACCGCCGGAGACGGAAATCCGCGGGGTGAGGCGATGTGCGACATTTTTAGGGCCGACCTTTTCTAACCCCACATTTTCCTTGCAGGTGCTGGTTGTCCGCGCGAAATGCCTTACTGCTGTCAAACCCATTTACAGTCATCAGTACGACATCGTCCACAGAACTTGAGCTGCTGCGTTTAATCTTGCCGTTCGCCAATCGACCTGCCTGGCGTGTTAGAATCTACAGGAACATATGTTCCAGCCAATATAGCTCGTTTGGGCTATCATTGTAGGCAAGCTGACTACCACATCAGGGTGGCAGTTATGATCGGGTTTGCTATACTTGAATGTGAACAACGAAGAAAAGGTGTAATAAAAGATGTGAGTCAACGCCGAAATTCATAACTGACTGACTGATCTGTGTACAGAAAATCCACTATTTTCAAAGGTACTTGGATGAGCCTGATTTTCCGCAGAAAGTTAGAAAACATTATATACAGTAAACTCTTTAGTCTGGGATTCTATAAAAGTTTGCTAGGGGCTGTTTATTTTAACTAAAAAACACTGATACACAGTAGCGCATAAATATATATGCGCCACACTGATCAAGGAATTTGAGTAGGACTTGGATATTATTCAGGTGCTTAAACCGAAGGGGGTTGGTTTACTTAGGCGACCACGCCTCAAAACTTACGCCTACAAGTCTATTGCACAAGGCAGCGAGGTAACGTCAGGAGATTTAGTCCCACAATAGCAACTAACGAACAACAAGTTCATATATCATTCTTTGTCTCAGGAATCATATGTATCACTGGTTTGAAATCAGGGTTTTCGTATTTCTCAAGATGAATCTTGTATACCCACCAAAACAGTTAAAGCCATGGGCGGATATTCATTTTTCATATTTTCAATTTTGTGAACAACTCTGTCGCTGCGAGAAGACAAAAACTCTATAAGCTTAGCCATACCAGAGCGATTCGATGGAGAGAGTGGACTGTCCCCACTTGCAGCCTTACCACCACAGGCATTTAATGGCTGAGGGATAGATTTATGAACTTTCAATACAATACAATACATAAAAGTAAATTTATAAGAATTTTTTAAATCCTGAGTTTTCAAGACAAATATCAAATGCAATTTATTCAATCTACAGACTAATTCTTCAATAAAATTCAAAATAAAAAATCGATATTAAGACCTAATGAATATTAACTAATATACTCGCCAACTGATATGATCGAATGCTATTACGAGTTCACCTTACTTGGGGTAACCGGAACGAAGATCAAAGACTCAGCGACACAATACGCTACTCTAATCAGATCGTTCCAGGCCCGACTAACTAGCCGAAGAAGTCTTGATAAGACATAGAGAAATGTATCCCCTCAGGCACCAGAAAGTACGAGGTCCACAAGCAACCAACTCAAGCTTATTCATTCAATGAAAAAACCCGTACTAAAATAATCTACCAACCATGGAGTTTCCCGAGGGGAAAAAGTTTGAGGTGAAGGTGAACTGCTCCGAAAACATAAGAAATCCAAAATTTCCAAATAAAATTACAAAATTAGGACTTTTTCCAAATGAATTCAGGGGGATCTCATGTCCCCCAATATTAAAAACACACACTCGTTGTAATGAAATATTCCGCTCCCACTTTCCATCAGTATAAATACTTTGTACTTGTACAATTAACTCCGTCAGTAGAACCTTCAGGGCTACTGCCGGTCCCAAGCCCGGATAAAGGAGGAGGGTTGGCGACCCCATGTCCAACAAAAACTAACTTGCCAAAAAAAACGCTAACCAGAAAAAATAATTCAAACCATTTTAACTCTGCCCTGGGAGTTGGAGGAAGAAAAATTATGACGTCACGTGATGAAAGCCGAGTTCCCTCGGAAGTCACGGGGCCGATGCTCCATTGGGGGTAACAGGTGTAAGTAAGTAAGTAAGTAAGTAAGTAAGTAAGTAAGTAAGTAAGTAAGTAAGTAAGTAAGTAAGTAAGTAAGTAAGTAAGTAAGTAAGTAAGTAAGTAAGTAAGTAAGTAAGTAAGTAAGTAAGTAAGTAAGTAAGTAAGTAAGTAAGTAAGTAAGTAAGTAAGTAAGTAAGTAAGTAAGTAAGTAAGTAAGTAAGTAAGTAAGTAAGTAAGTAAGTAAGTAAGTAAGTAAGTAAGTAAGTAAGTAAGTAAGTAAGTAAGTAAGTAAGTAAGTAAGTAAGTAAGTAAGTAAGTAAGTAAGTAAGTAAGTAAGTAAGTAAGTAAGTAAGTAAGTAAGTAAGTAAGTAAGTAAGTAAGTAAGTAAGTAAGTAAGTAAGTAAGTAAGTAAGTAAGTAAGTAAGTAAGTAAGTAAGTAAGTAAGTAAGTAAGTAAGTAAGTAAGTAAGTAAGTAAGTAAGTAAGTAAGTAAGTAAGTAAGTAAGTAAGTAAGTAAGTAAGTAAGTAAGTAAGTAAGTAAGTAAGTAAGTAAGTAAGTAAGTAAGTAAGTAAGTAAGTAAGTAAGTAAGTAAGTAAGTAAGTAAGTAAGTAAGTAAGTAAGTAAGTAAGTAAGTAAGTAAGTAAGTAAGTAAGTAAGTAAGTAAGTAAGTAAGTAAGTAAGTAAGTAAGTAAGTAAGTAAGTAAGTAAGTAAGTAAGTAAGTAAGTAAGTAAGTAAGTAAGTAAGTAAGTAAGTAAGTAAGTAAGTAAGTAAGTAAGTAAGTAAGTAAGTAAGTAAGTAAGTAAGTAAGTAAGTAAGTAAGTAAGTAAGTAAGTAAGTAAGTAAGTAAGTAAGTAAGTAAGTAAGTAAGTAAGTAAGTAAGTAAGTAAGTAAGTAAGTAAGTAAGTAAGTAAGTAAGTAAGTAAGTAAGTAAGTAAGTAAGTAAGTAAGTAAGTAAGTAAGTAAGTAAGTAAGTAAGTAAGTAAGTAAGTAAGTAAGTAAGTAAGTAAGTAAGTAAGTAAGTAAGTAAGTAAGTAAGTAAGTAAGTAAGTAAGTAAGTAAGTAAGTAAGTAAGTAAGTAAGTAAGTAAGTAAGTAAGTAAGTAAGTAAGTAAGTAAGTAAGTAAGTAAGTAAGTAAGTAAGTAAGTAAGTAAGTAAGTAAGTAAGTAAGTAAGTAAGTAAGTAAGTAAGTAAGTAAGTAAGTAAGTAAGTAAGTAAGTAAGTAAGTAAGTAAGTAAGCAAGTAAGTACTTGTACAATTAACAATCATTTTTTTTTACAATAAAAAAAATACAATACAGAAAATTGATTAATTCACATTTTTTAACAATTTACCGTGATGTATTATCGCCTACTACAAGGGCAGCAGCAGGATTAATACCAGCAGCTAAAAGTTGTTGATGTTGATGATGTTGTAACAATTGCATTTGTTGTAATTGATATAAATGTGCTTGTTGATAACTTAAACTTAAACGTTTCTCTTGTTCATAACGTTGACGTGCCATACGTTTTTCAACACGTGTTAAACGATAATCTTTACGATCAATTAATAAAGATTCATGTGTGAATGGACGCTGATATGGAAAAATAAATGGGGAAAAAAAGGGAAAAGAACAAACAATATAAATTATATGAATGAATAATAGTTGGAAAGTTACACTTTTTATATGCTTAGACTGTTTGTAAGCCGCTGTTACCTGGTTAGCAGTTTGATAGTCGAAAAGTTTGACTACCAGGGTGATGCTGACTTTTTAAGAATCATTAAATAGAACAAGTGAGTATGAATCGATTGTATCAATCAACGTGTCAACTATCATCGGAACTGATTAGTACTTCAAGTGATGTTCGTCAATATTGTCTACTTTCTTCATTCTTATTACGTTGGCATGGTTGTAGAAAAAACACTTTCATTATCTGACTTTTCAAGAGTTGTCCTTCTGCCAGGAGACTTGTTTGTTGACTTAGAATATGCCGATGAAGATGCTTACGAATCAATTCCCGGCGACAGATTGCTAGTAAGCTGCTACCCGGGTTAATACAAAACTGAAATTTTGTCTGATAGTCGAATAGTTTAACCATTAAGGCAATGTTTTTTCTAAAAATCTTCAGATAGAACAAGTGTATCACTACTCCTCCGTGTGTACCTGAATATTGCAATTCAACAGACATACAAACCAAAAAAAGAGCGCTTTTAGACATAACACTATCTTGGCCCGACTTTTCAGAGGTGGACCTTCTACCAGGAGACTCGCTTGTTGACTTAGAATATTGTGGTGGTGTTTCGTTCTCTGCGCTGGTTGTTTTGGTTGTGAAGCTTTCATTGTTCTTCTGAACAACATCATCAGCACAAACTTCAGATAGAAGTGTGCATCGTTGATCATTAATTGTACCATATGTCTCCCACTTTGCTCCGCTATTCGCCATCCCATTGGGCAGTTGATTGATGGTCTATATCTGACACTTGTTGGCAGAACATGCTGACGAAGATATTCGTGAAGAAAAAACAGTTGTTGTCGAGTGGAAGCTTGCCTTTTGGCGAAATTCTCCCATTTTCGAACAACGTGAAGCGTATCACGCTGATATGATTTTGAGATGGTGGAGAAAACTTGTAGCTCAAGTGGATGATTGTGGTGGTGTTTGGTTCTCTGAGCTGGTTGTTTTGGTTGTGAAGCTTTCATTGTTCTTCTGAACAACATCATCAGCACAAACTTCAGATAGAAGTCTATGGTATGGCGACTTCAACTGATGTATGTACGAAGTTCTGCGTTGTTGTTACTGATTAACTGACGTGTCACAACTGCTCCACACTTGATTACAACAATTGAACATACAAAAAAAGACAGAAAAATCATCGTTTTACTTACTTTTGTAATCCATTGACTATGCTTTTTCAAGACATCAACTAGGATTGGATCTGGTTCTATTATATCTTTACATATTTCTATATCATCCTCTGTGATAGTTTCCATATCTTTATCTTCAAATGACATTAATAATTCCACTTGTGAACGTGTAAATTGTTGTGTTGGATTCAACTCGTCCACAACACGATCTGACATACCTTGTTTAGTGACCTTGAAAAAATATGAAAAACAAAATATTCCATTCAAATATTTCAAGGAAAAAAATTTCTTCGAGAAAATGGATGAGATGAATTCGAAAATCAATATACTGATTTGGGATTCTATAAAGCAAACAACTGATAAGAATCATGTTTTGAAGTAATTGTTCTACTATTACTTTCCCTTAAATTAAATTAATCTTACAATCACATAATTATAGTTTACTTTTACTTTACAGTTGTTCATTTGACCAAAATAATTCTTTTCATAATTGAAATCTAGAATTCATGTTGATTAGATTACTACTAGAAACCTGAAAGCACTAACTGGATGGGTGTTTCTCCCTAGTACAGAAATCTACAAGGGTGTACATCTACAACCCAGCGAGCAGGAATCGAAATCAGGACTTCCAGTATCGCGCCTGTTATCCCTAATGGAGTATTATAGGTCACCACTGACTAGCGAATTATTTTTCTGGCTAGTTTTTTTGAGTGAGTTGTTTTTCTACCGGGTGGGGTCACTAACCCTCATGCCCAACCCTCCTCTTTTTTCCAGGTTGGCAATAACCCTAGAAAGGCTCCAGGAGGAGTTGTTTGATAACTTAATATATTATCAATGTTAAATTTCCACCCAATAATCGCTTTATTTTGAAATTATTAAATCTAACCTTGGTAACTAAAAAATAATTGTTCAAGACACCGGAAAAAACATACAATACAGTGTAATCATTTGGTGTGTTTCTATCACGTGAAATATCCTTGAGTAGGTAGATTAAAATATCTCCTTCATATACAACCTATTTATTTTATTTACAATTTGTACAATGTTAGGTAAAAGTTTCACTAAATGTGTTAACCAATCACTTTTTGACAAACAATAGTAGTCACCATTGCACCTTTATGAGTACACATGGATCAAACCCTAAATTGTCTTTTTATAAGAGTATAGAATATATGTGATTAGCGAATGCACGAAAAACTGATAACTACAAGTCTTAAGGGAAAAAGGATGGTGGTTTTTACTTTAACTACACCCAATATGACGTTCAGTTTGTTGTGAACACATGAACAGAACGATGAACGGAGACTAAGAAGCCTTCGAAAAAACAAAATGCTTTTAAAAGGTATTAGATGTAAGAACTCTATTGTACTAAGTTGTGAACACGATGAGAAACGAAAGCAACAGACAGTTTACAATGACTGTTTGGATGTCATTATAAGGTTGTGGAGATTCTTGCAATTCATAAAGCACCAAAGAACACCTGGAAGCACTGAATAGCTGTTTCTTCCTAGTATGAAACTCATCAGCAGTGTGCGGCCACAACTCTCAAACCGGGAGTCGAACCCAGGACCTTCAATTTCGCGTGCAAACGCTCAACATCTCGATCACTGAGCAAGCATCCAACGACACTAATAATGTCTAGATTCGATCAATCCATGATCTTGTGTGACCATCACCCAATATACAACTGAACTCATAAAACCTCCAAGAATTCCCCTAACGGAAGCTAGTCATCACTAGTGAGCATATGATAATGATCAAGTTTTACATTAAAATGATGAATGAGATTGATAATTAACTTACTAAACAATTAACCCAACCGAAGCTGCTACCTAGACGTGGTGGTCGGGCTTGCCTATCGTGATGACCCAACCGAGCTATACTGGCTGGAACATATGTTCCTGAAGGTTCTACCATGCCAGGCAAGTCGACTGGAGAACGATGAGACTAAAAGCAGCTAATCAAGGTCTGAGAGCGAAGTCGTACTGCTGACTGAAGAGAGGTGTGAAAGCAGTAACGTGTTTCCCTCGGACAACCAGCATCTGCAGCGATGCTGACTTCTCACAAGGAAGGAAGGGTTAGAAATGGTCGACCCTAAAAATGTCACACCTCACCCTACCTCACGGATTTCCATCTCCGTCGGTAAGGGCTGCCCAATAAGGGCTTTCAAGAGCGGAGCTAATACTGAAAAATCGTTTCACCAGAAGGCCGTGCGTGATCAACATCATGCAGTTGTCCTTTGGACTCTGCGGTCACGCTCCCAGGTCTTCAAGACCAACACTAATCTGCCTTGCTTCTCAGGCCCCTCAAGAAACAACCTTCCATGGTGTGGGCAGCCGGGAAGTGATAACCGCCCCCTCATAACCGTAACAGCACAAGAGAGAGCAAATTGGTCGAAAAACCGAAAGTAAGGAAATGTGCTGCTTTACCACAAAAAAAAAAAAATTTACTTACTTGTCTATCATAAATTTTCTTTTCCATTGTATTATCTGAAACAAGTCGATAAATATAACATGGTTTCACTTGACCATAACGATAAACACGACAAACAGCTTGACAATCATGACATGGATTCCATGATGCATCAAAAACAACTACACGATTTGCACCAATCAAATTCACACCAAGGCAACCAGCTCTAGATATAGGAAGATTAAATTTGTTTTTTGTAGAAAAAATATTCATGAATAAATACAATGTTTTCAATAAAAATATAATTTATCTGTTGAACTTGTTGTTCAGAAAAAAGGAAGAATACATGTGATCTACATTCTACTCTAAATAAATGATAGATAATGTGAGTTAGTTAGCTTCAGGAAAATTATTTATATGTACACGATAACCTTACTGATAACCTGAAATGAATAACCAATGAGAATTAACATAGTGAGTGTTTCATGTGTTTGATTGAGTGAACTTAAAATTTGAATTAATAGAGATAGCTGCTTGTATGTTATATTAAGAACCTTAAAATCGATAAAAATGTTTAACTATGAGGAATACTAGCACTGCTGATGCAGACTGTGTTTTCCAGTACTTGATGTGACAAATAAGTATGGATAATAGTGTTTAATTGTTGGATACGTTTAAAAGAGCATTGCTCAATTCAAAAAAGGAGGGGACACTAGCCGACGCGTTATAAAATTTCTTGTACGTCTATCGGACAACACCAAATGAGTTGTTACCGGAGCAAAAGTCCCCAGCAGAAATTCTGATGGGAAGAAGATTGAAAACGATCCACAGCCTGATGCATCCGACTAATGCACCCACATCAGTAGAGACAAAGCCGTAAAGAGAATCCATTTACGAAGTAGGATGTCCTGTGTTTGCCCGCGACTACAGAACGAACCATGGTCCTTGGGCATAAGCGAGAGTGGTCAGAAGAGTTGGTCGAGTTATGTACGACGTAGAGGTAGGAGGTGATGAATCGAAATCAGATACGCAGACGGCTAGCCCCAGATCGCCCATCAAAAGCAGAAAGCCTTCCCCTTGACATCTTGCTTGATACTTTCGACCTACCGGCAGCTCCCCCACGAGAAGAAACTCAGCAGCAAGCTGTTCTCCGTTCCCGAAGGTATCCTCTCAGACAGCGGCGAACGATAGTCAAGATGCAAGTCGACCCCAGGAGCACACGCTATTAAAAAGGGGAGGAGTGTTGGGGATGTTAGATCCCCAAAATTCGCTTGATAATGCCGTATTTTGGTTTTCACGTTTTGCCAGCATGGGCTGATCAGATGACCTTGAGATTTCAATTCCCATCAGGAAAATCCATGGCTGTGATTGGCTACTGTCTATTTTAGTATGCTATTTTCTTAACTGTCTCAAGGACGTTCTTATGTTGTATAAATAAACGAGAGTTGTATGCTTGATTGTACTGTGATTGCTGGGTGTTTGTAGAATATACTTTCTACGCTTACGAAGCCTTCTTACTTTATTTGGGGATTCAAGGTATCCTACCTGGACGCTGGTAAAAGTCTCGTTCGTGTTTATCGACTAAAGTAAACTCGTAATAGCCTCAAGCGTACTTAGTGACGAACACAATATTAACGCAGTTCAATGTTCTCCCATCCTAATTCTTACATTGAAATCTGGACTGTAAGATTCTTAAGATTGTAAATAGAAGTGTAAACTGATGGTTAGAGAGAGACACCTTGGACGACATGGCTGAAAATCGTTTAATGATGGCTTAGATGCTTCCATACTTTGTGTTCTTTGAAATCTTAATCCGTTGAATTTATTATCACCTTTATCTTTCTGTTTCTAAGTTTATTTCACTGTAGTATACTTCTTGAATAATATCTTCAAACTTGAATCTTTCCGATAACTGCCCATATTTCCATTAACTCTACCACTGTGATATTCGAATCGACAATTGCATCTCTGTGCTACCGAGGTATGATGTACGTACGTACACAGTTCTGCGTTGTAACTGACTGACTTGAAACAGAAGTGTGACAAAGTATTGCATCATATTTGATGTCCATCAGTGATAAAAATTATAAAGTTTTAAACTCTTACTCACTACACTAGCACGACTCACTATAAGAACTGAACCTTTATTCCTGACTGTAAGGACTATTTCATGATTGGCTGATTAGAAGTGACAGTAAAAATGTCATCACTCCAAAACAAATAAACTTTATGCAACTAATTTACCGACAAATGTCCTGGTACGACCGAGAGTGGGAAGACTGCCCTTCCTCTCACTAAATGCTTCTACATGGTCATGCGTGTAGAGCCACTGCCATATTATGGTGCATTTATTGTTAACTGGGGGGGGGAGGAGCTTCAACCCGGATAGTGGATATGGAGGTTTATCTATCTAGAGAAGTTGGAAAATACTGATTTCAAACCAATGATTCAAATAGAGTTCAGCATGCCGAGGATATAGATGATGTATGAACCTATTGTAAGTCATCGAGTATCATAAGACCGCATCTGGTGTCATAGTTCCATTGTCTTTTGGATTAGACCTTTGCATTCCACGGCTGGAGCAGGCTGTTCCCTAACCAAACCATGTCAGTCAGTCAGATGCAACGTAGAACTTCGTACGTAAGTACACCAGTTCATGTTGCCATACCACATTAGAGTGGAACAACCCACAAGCGACTATCTAGTGGGATCCAGTCTAGGAGAGCTAGTTCTGCCCTACGATTCAATACTACACCTACACCAGTGACCCCGTGAAGCAGCATTAGGGCTACCGGATACACGAAGGGTAAATCGGGATGCTTCCTTATTTTGATAAGGTGAAATCAGATTAATAATTTTACTAGGATCCTGTATGCACGTTTCCGAGACGCAGCATACATCGAGGGAGCGAGATTCTAAAGTCCTAACTAATGATGCCTGTTGCCCTATTTGACACAATGTCCGTATACATTAAAAGCTCCAACATGTAGCCTAGAACGGAGTTTAAGGAGACCAGGAACGACGTTTCGTGAACTCGCATCGTTTGCATTAGCGGTGCGGAGTGATAAAGGAATGTGAGAAGAGTTAGTCGTAAGTCAGTCAGTCAGATGTAACATAGAACTTTGTACGTAAGTACATCAATTCATGTTGCCATACCACGTTAGCACAGAGATATAACTGTCAATTCAAATCACATAGTAGAAGAGGTAGTAAAGGTATTAGAATTAATCGGAGAGGTTAGGATTTGAAGATATTATTCAAGAAGTAAGATTCAATGAGATTACTTTAGAAAGTCAAAACTAGAGGTGTTGAAAAATCCAGAAGATTAGGGTTTGAGAGAACACAAAGCATAAATGCACCGGTGCCATTGTGAACGATTTTGAGCCATGTCATTCAGCGTCTCTAACCATCGATTATTATCATCTCGCGGACCCCAACCAGGTAGTCGACAACTACCGACATGGTGAAGTCCACTCGTCAATGACTTCGTGGAGAGAAGAGAGGTATGTGTAGGTGTAGGAAGGATTTGATTTTGACCAATTACCGGTATGAGGGCGGTTGTCGATTCCCGGCTGCCCACACCGTGGAAGAACCAAACCATGTACTTCGGGGTTTGAGTTGTTGAACAGTATATCCCAGACCATATACAAATTCAAATTATATATATATATATATATATATATATATATATATATATTGAATGATAATAGTTAACAATACTAGCAAATAAATATTATTATTATTAATAACACTCACCTAGTTGACATAAGAAATAATTTAGCTGGATTTTTAGGATCATTAAAATTGTTAATTAATTTTTCACGTTCACTTGCATTTGTACTACCATCTAGACCTGTGTAATAATAACAATTAAATAAAAATCAATGAATAGTTGCATGAAGGATAATTCTATTGTTGTATTAACTAGAAGAAATATTTCAGGCAATTTAGGTAGATACATTTAAAAAAACGGAACGGCTACACAAATAAAACAGTTAGCTACAACGTCGAACATCGGACGTAAGTACATCAGTTCATGTTGCCATACCACATCAGCACAGTCAGTTGCAAAGTAGAACTTCGTGCGTATGTACATAAGTTCATGTTGCCATACCACATTAGCACAGAGACGCAAATGTCGAATCGAATCCCATAGTGATAAAGATAGAAGAGGTATTAATGGTTATGAAGAATAATAGGGTTTGTAGATATTATTCAAGAAGTATAATTCAGTGAGATAAGGTTAGAAGACAAAGGTAGAGCTGCTGACGAATCCAGAAGATTAGGATTTGAGAGAGCACAACGAATGGATGCAGTAGCGCCATAGCAAAAGATTTTGAGCCATGTCGTTCAAGGTCTCTAACCAGTGGTGACTTTCGTCTCGCGGACCCCAACCAGGTAGTCTACATCTACCAGACTAGATGGAGACTACAACATCAGCACAGAGATTTAACGGCGCCATTGCAAACAGTTTTGAGCCATGTCATTCAGGGTCTCTAACCATCGAATACTAAAGTATCGTGGACCCCAATCAAGTAGTCGACAGCTACCGACATGACTCAGTCCACTTGTCAGTGACTTCATGGATTTCTGCCATGTTTTGGTTTGGCCGCCTTTAGCTTTCTTCCAACCTATTCCTACACTGCAAAACATAGCTCGTTGAGGCAGCCGGTGGTTAGGCATTCGTTACACATATCCCAATCACCTCAATTGATAAAGTCTCCATACTTCATCTATTGATCTACCGACCTTACCTAGCACTCGTTTCCTAACGACAACATTGCTTACTCAATTGTCTCAATAGTCTAATCAACCTGAGAAAAAAATACATGTATATAACTTACGGAAATAATGAACATTACGTGTCCATACAGTTGGTTCATCCATACAACCTCGACGTGTTGATAATCTGTAATGTAAAGATTTCGGAGTCTCCTCTTCTTCATCCTCCATTGGTAATTTGTGTTTGATTCCTTCTTCTTGTTTATGATTATGATTATTATTATCGGGTTCTTCATTTTTGATCATTTCATCAGAATGATTCGATTGGATCAACTGATCAACTTTCTCGTGATCGTGAGCTGATTCATTGCACTTCTTATTATTATCATCGTCACCATTATTTTGATTTTGTTCATTCTTCTCGTGTATCATTGTCGTCTTCGTCGTGGTGGTGGTGGTGGTGGTGCAGTCATCGGATGATTTCAACGGAACTGCTTCACACTTGTCAACAACCGCAACATCATTACTAGCTACTACTGGTAAAGGTAAATTACGTAGTATACGCTCCAATAAATCCAGCGTATACAAACTTTGTGTAAATACTAATAATTTATCACCAGCTAGAACACTTCCTTTTAATATGTCTAAGAATAGTAGTACTTTACCACTATGTTTAATATTACCAGTTTTAAAATCTTCACCCCATAATTCTTCATCACCAGCCCAATCATATGTGCCAACATTGGATTGATGTGTTTGTGTTGGCGTGTAAAAATAACCTGAATTCGGTGTGACATTATTTGACTGTCCAACGGTGGATGATATGCCGCCGCCAATTGTAGAAGCAGGAAACATAGGATTCTGGCAGAGAAATTGTCAGTAGGAAAAAATTAAACAACATTTAGTAATGACAGAGTATCATGGATTGGTTGACATTAAACAATAACGCCATTGTATACTGGCTCAGTAGGGATACTATCCCTACTAACTCAGGTCTCATATGGTCGAAAAATGAAGATTTCGGAAACGTGAAAAAAAAATCATTGCCCGACATGAGACAAAGGGTAATAGAAGTGTTAGGGCCTATTCGCATTAAGCTGGGCTGCGTCTTCTATACTATCCTACGCCATCATATGTGTACACCATATGCTATACTGCTATATAGAGTTGAAGGTCTCCTATGGGACTAGAGGTTCACTGTGAATATTGCGAATGGCTTGGCTTTGCTTTGGTAAGCATTGTTAACAGTCCATATACAAAATTGGTTAGCAGGGCGACCGATTTCATTGATATGAGTGGTTGTTTTGCAACATTCCCGAGGGCCATTGTCATCGGGGTGCTGCATTACATATCACCATTGCTAATAATGATGAGTTTGACAGTCATGTAAGCGGGATGGCCTGTTCATGCGGTGCATATTGATTGAAACGATCATGGATCGGAAATATATATACCAGTTGGTATATATAAATGGTGTGAATGGCCCACCAGGGTATCAGGTACCTGTGTGATTGTACCACAGGATTGAGCCGAACTGTTCATGTAGTAATGGTAAAACGTGAGCAGTCTCTTTGGTTCTCTTGAAAACCAATGTAAAATTGTCCTTGACAATACAGGGCAAATTTATAATAAAAATCATATAATACTGGCTCAGTGATCAAGAGGTAAGCGTTTTCATACGATTTTGGAAGTCGTGATTTCGACCCTTGCTTGCAGGGTCTTGGATTCGCACTGCTAATGAATCTCATACTAGGAGGAAAATGCTATCCAGCGTTTCCAGGTAGTAGCTTAAAACAATGATCGATTCACGCACACAGTAAGTGGTATTTTGTGAAACAAACGGAGACATTCAGATCTTTAAAATAAGCTACCAACATTTACTAGTTCACTTGATTTTTTATACCAATTAAGGAGGATTAGAAATATGAAAAATGAGTGGCCATCTAAACTCATTAACTAAAAGGGTAACGCGTCAGCGTTCGGAGCGACAAATGAAGTTTGGATCCCAAAGTGAGCATAAATTCTGGGATGTAAATACATCCAAATGACGAGTTCAAAATAGAAGGAAACGCTTTTTCTCCTGCTACACTCAATCACTCTTCAGTAAAACGTTCTACTACTATATAGTGATATCATTGTCCACAAGTAGCTACAGCACTGCCGCTAGTATACAATCGTTTCTGAACTAGGGTGAAGGATGTTGCTCACAAAGTGACAGACATAAAATACGAAGCGGAGCGTAATTCAGACGTGGCTACCACAGAAAGGACTGACTGAAGATCAAAATGCATGATTCGGCCAAAGAATATTGAAGACTAGAAGACATAGTTTGTTAACAAACAGTGCCTTCTGAAAATATGTAAATCCCATTTGGTGTAGACTTTTTCGTACATCACAACACGATGGAATATTTCTATCCTTTCCCGTAATAAATACTTCCTCAGGTTCATAGTTGTACGGAAGAAAATGGGAAGATGGTTTCACTGTTAATCAAATTCACCCAAATAGGGCAAAGTCGACTGAAAAATCCCCAGTGAATTTTCTTGAATATTTGACAAAACTTTATTGTGTCCATCAGTTTATTTTAGCCCGTGTGATAAGTGTAAATTTTTACAAAGGTATTATCTGTCATGAGAGATTATTTTTTTTACAAGATCTCATAAACTTCACAATCTCTTTTATCTTCCTACTTTAAAGACTGAACAGGACAGACAGACAGATACAACGCAGAACTTCGTACGTAAGTACATCAGTTCAGGTTGCCATACCACATCAGCACAGACACGCAACTGTCAGTTCAAATCCAGGAGTGATAGCGATAATGGAAGCATTAGCAGTAATGGAGAAGATTAGGGTTAGAAGATATGATTCGAGAAGTATAATTCAGTGAGATAGCTTTACAAAGTGAAAGATAGAGATGATGTGGAATTCAGAAGGTTATAATTAAAAAGCACACAAAGAGTGGATGCACCTGCGCCACTGCAAACGATTCTGAGCCATATCGTTCAAGGTCTCTAATCATTGGTGACTTTCGTCTCGCGGACCACAACCGGGTAGTCTACATCTACCAACATGACTCAGTCCACTTGTCAGTGACTTCACGGATATCTCGCCTACACCATAAGTGACGCAGGTTGGCAAAAGTCAATCAAGCCTTCCGTATCCGAGCTGAGATTTCGTCAGTCAGCAGGCCATCAGCACTGATGAGACTCCCCAGATAATTGAAGCGGTGTACACGCTCGACTACTTCACTCCCTATCACTATACCCGTAACAGCACGCGAGACCAAATCGGTCAAAATCAAAAACTGAACAAGCTAGAACGATTAGCAGCACTCCAAGTCTGTTACATAATTCAGGCATCACGTAAACAAAAACAAACACGTTGATTACTCATTCACTTACCGGGGGCATAAAAGATAACGGCATAGGAGAATCATTAACAGAATAAGTCGAATTATTAGCTGCCGATGTAGGCAATTGGCTAGAAGTTAAATCTGAAGACATCGCAGTGGAATCTCCTCCACCACCACTAGTCCATGATTGTTGTGAATCATTTGGATGAGTTGAAATTGTGCTATTCGATCGTTGATACATTGATCGACCACCACCACCACCACCAGTGGAAGAAGACAATGTGGTATTTGAATTTTGATTTGCTGTTGTCTCTTCAATATCAAAATCCATAGCTTCTTTATGCTCTTCCATTGCACGACGTAATATATCAGGATGATTCCATATCTAAATTGTGCAAAGAATCAATGCGAAACAATTACAATGTACACTACTTTTGAAAACGTTCACAGGTAGTGTATTCAAATGGAGTAAATGAAATAAAAGGATTAAAAAGACAATGATTTTGTTAGGATATTCACCAATCCTAGAAGTACAATCCTATTGGCCGAAATTATGACCGTTCTAACCGTCAAGGTCAAATACTTCAATGTTGCTTTTTATTGGTCATCTGGACTGTCAATGTCATTCAAATGTTCTTTTCTATTGGTCGGCCTAAACTGTCGATGTCACAGAATTCGATGCTCTTTCTCATTCGACCTTAGTGTATAAATACGCACTATCTGAAAGACTGAATAATTCCGTTTCCCCTGCCTACCTCTTCTTCTGTATTCGACCCAATAAATAACTTCTTTCCACGGTGTTGCGTTCTGATATCTAGGAGATTTGGAAATAGCATTTTGGGTCGTATTGGGATATTTGAATTGGACGCCGTTAGGACTAAAGAGCTATACGTAGCAGCGTTACAACAGATTTATTAGTTAAATGTTCCAATAGGAGAAAATGGTAGTTTTATCGTCTTTCAATACAAATGCCCAGGGAGTTCTACTGTATGGGGTGGAAAACTGAAGAACCACGAAACAAAACGCAACATTCACAAGATACAAGTGTTTATTAACAGTTAGTTATCTACGCAGAATACTGAGGATTTGTTGACCAGATACCATCAGCAACAACCTACTGTGGGAGGGAACAAACCAGATTCCAGAGGAAGAAGAAACCAGGAAGAGGCGCTGCAAGTGGATAGGACATATGTTGAAGGAAGCACTCAACTGTGTCACCGACAAACGGAGACAGAAATGAGAATAATGAACAAGAATTGGACATAACTGGAAAGTGGAGCCCAGGACAGAATAGGCTGTAGAACGCTGGTTGGCGGATTATGCTGCCCAAGGGGTAACATGCTTAAGTAGGTAAGTAAGTAAATATAACAACTGGTCTGTTGACAATACTTATGGTCGAACGATGACTTACCAATAAACTCCGTCTCATTTTTACTAAATACCACAGTCGAAGATCACGATATAAGAGTTTGTAGAGCCAATTATGATAAATGCCAAAATTTAGACAAAAATCAATGGACGATTTAGTCTGTTACAGTCTGTCAATTAATTAGTATGATTAAAAGACTTTACACTAGGTCGATTCCATTCTATTATAGTGTTTTTTTAATTCATAATGGTTAAAAATGTAACAACACAGAAACTATAAATATTTTCATTGAAAACAATACCCGCCCCCAAAGAACATCAGAAAAAGTACTATTATTAGTCATTGATTAAAATTGAATCCCCATCAGAATGTTATGTAAACGAAGTGCATTTTAAATTTGATATGAAATCGTACGATTACTAAGATTACTAGTATCCTGCGCCGAATGCTAAGCATCGGAATCCCTTACAATCTGTAATTTTCTTTTCCAAAATTTATTTCACTGGTTTATATTTTCTCCAGTCTTATCTCCGACCACCCAATCTTAGGCATTACAATTAATACTGTTAGAACATCTACTTGAGGACTTGGACTGAAAATTTTATCTTCGTGTGCTAATGTGGTATGGCAACTTGAACACTGTGTAGTTGCGTACCAAGGTGATATGCTTGAAACTACTACGAGTTTACCTTACTCGGTAACCGGAACGAGGATTGACGATGTAGTGACACAATAGGCTATTCTAATCCGATAGTCCCCGGCCCCGCTAATTAGATCAAAAGTCTTGATAAGGCGTAGTGAATGTATTCTACAAGCACCCAGAAAATACGAGGTTGCTAAGAACACAAAGCAGGCTTATTTTATACAATGGCAGAAACGTCCTTCTGAGAGACACACAATAGCGTAACAAAATAATACATCAACCAATTGCAGCCACGGATTTTCCGAGGGGGAATGTAAGCTGAAGGTCAAATGGCGCGAAAACAAGGAAATTCAAAACTTCAGATTTTCAAGTGCGTTCTGGAGATCTATCTAAAGTCTCCAAAACAAGTTCTACGTTGCAACTAAGTGATTGACTGGGCAAAACCTCGAGACACCGAACATTGAGCTAGCTTCGAGTCTACTTAGGACCCCAGCACTTTACACTCGGATCAGTTAGACGATTTTCTAAATCATTCTCTTTGAAGGTGATAAATCACTTCTTAATATACATAAAATTTAGAAATTTAATGTTCTTAACAATTTACATGATGATTTAACCTCATTGCTTGTAATAGAAAACACCAATATTACTTTAAAATACTCTTTTATGGTTATCCCATTTCGTAAAATAACTGGTTATGAATTTAAGCCGTAATCAACATGGAATTTAGTGTCGTATTGTGAATCATTATTACTGAAGAGGTTTTCCGAATTTAAGTTAATGAAAAAGCCATAATCATTGGACTTAAACGGTTTTGGTTGTGAGGCAGTTACTCAACGCAGAAAATGAATGAAGACAGGCAATAACATGGATTGGTTCAAGTTAGACATGAACATCACTGGATACCGGCTCAGCGGCTAAGAGGCTAAATGTTCACGCGTGAGACTGCATGTCCTGTGTTCGATATCAGCTTGCGGGTTTTGGATTTACTAGAACGAAAAAGCCATCTAGTGCTTTAAAGTTTCCAACGATAATCTAACACTGATCGGTTCATGAATTCCTTGTTTGTAGAATATCCTACAGAGATCATCGAATGGGAATAGTTCTGTTTGTGAAAAAAGTTGTTGAGGATGTTAAATCTCCAGAACTCGCTTGAAAAATATCTTTAATTTGGATTTATTTCATGCTACAATCAGTTGACCTTGAGATCACATTTCTCATCAGTAAAAATCCTTGGCTGTGATTGGTTACCGTATCATTTTAGTGTGCTATTTTTATGACTGTCCCAAGGACGTATCTATAGAGTATAAATTAACGCAATTTGAGTGCTTGGATTCGTTGCGTGTGCTGGCTGGGTATTTGTAGAATACAATTTCTACACGATATCAAGACTTCTAGCTGATTCAATTTGGTCAAGGAATCACAGTAGCCTACCTAGACGCTGGTTCATTGTCTTGTTCTCGTTATTCGACTATGGTTGATTTATCAGTTTATGTGTAAAATCGAATAAAACAACTATTCAATTGTTCAAACAGTAAAATAGTGAAATGTTAAAAGCATAACAAACAACTCATACTCACCTTACAACACATTGCATATGTTTTCAATGTATTCACTTGTGCCCAACCATATGGACCACTAGAACCCAAACTACGCATAAATGCTGCATAAAGTGTACGTTGTAAATGAGATAATTTAATTAATAGAACAATTTCTATTTTCGGCGGAAGACTAGCTTTCAGTACAGCATGAGAACGTCGTTGTACAAAACCAGATAATAAATCATGTAGAACATGTGCTCTACCTTGCATGATTTTACGATCTTCCAGTGTACTATCGATACATTGACCATTTTCAATTGGACGTTGAAACATATTAGTGAATTCTTGTTTTGTACCTAAATAATTCGGTCGTACAAAATCAACCATACACCAATATTCCATAAGATTATTTTGTAATGGATAACCAGTGAGTACGACACGTCGACTGTAAAAACAAAAAAAGAAGAAAAAAAAAACACTGGAAAGAAATTCACTTCAAAGGATTGATTGATGATTTCAAATGTGTAAAAAAACGCAAACCTCCAAAACTGTGCCCCAAAATATCGTAACAGTGCTCATTGGTGATGACTAGCTTCGTGAGGCAATTCTCGGAGTTCTAGTTGAGAAGACGTGACTAATGGAGTTCAACCCTGTCGGGTGTAGGCAGTAACTACTACCAAAGACAAATGGGTGAGGTCGCGCAAAATCCCTAGATCAATCAGAGTTAGACATTAACACCGTTAGATGCTGGCTCAGTGGTCCGATGGTAAGGCGTTCGCCTACAATGCCAGAGGTCCCGGGTTCGAATCCTGCGAGGAGCAGGAGTCGTGGATGCGCACTGCTGATGAGTACCATAACAGGACGAAACGGCCGTCCAGTGCTTCCAGGTTTCTAATGGTGGTCTAACAATGATTGATTGATGATTTCAAACGTGTAAAAGGATTAGAATGATTTCCAGCAATAGTCAGTCAGTCAGTTGCAACGTAGAACATCGTACGTATGTACATAAGTTCATGTTGCCATACCACATTAGCACAGAGAAACACAAATGTCAAATCAAATGCCATAGCGATAGTATAGATAGCAGAGGTATTAATGGTTATGAAGAAGACTAGGGTTTGAAGATATTATTCAAGAAGTATGATTCAGTGAGATAAGGTTAGAAAGACAAAGGTAGAGGTGCTGACGATTTCAGAAGATTAGGATTTGAGAGAGCACAACGAATGGATGCACTTGCGCCATTGCAAACGATTTTGAGCCATGTCATTCAAGGTCCATAACTCTTGGTGACTTTCGTCTCGTAGCCTACATCTACCAACATGACTCAGTCCACTCGTCAATGACTTCATGGATTTCTACCATGTTTTGGTCTGGCCACCCCTAACTTTCTTCCAACCTATTCCTACACTACAAAACATAGCTCTTCGAGGCAGTCGGTGGTTAGGCATACGCAGCACATGTCCCAACCACCTCAACTGATGAAGTTTCACTACTTCATCTATTGATCTGCCATCCTTACAAGCCCCACAATCACTCTTAGTCAAATAGTTATATCACTAATAATTATTATTATTGTTATTATCAAATGTATATCAAATCAATTCTCATTGTTATTATCTTTTATTATTTCTCTGCTTCAATAAGTATGCTTCAATAAACTGACTATTTTTTATCAGATAAAATTGATCGAATAAACTGTGGTTTATTGGTTAATGCGTTCAGTCTTAAAAAATTCTTTGTAGAATATTGAAAAAAACAAAGAATATTTTTTGATTCAAAGATAGCTCAGTGGTAATAAGCTCCTTTAGTTGTGTATACGGATTCAATTGTTCCTGTGGGGCTAGTTACATAGGCCGTATTCTTTGCATAGCTAGTTAGATAAGGGAGACATGAAATATTGGTTAACAGAGCCATCCTTTCTGACTTGGTAGGTAACGAACATTATATTGAAATTGTTGGGGATGTTAGATCCCCAAAACTGGCTCGTTAAATGCCTTATTTTGGATTTCACGTTTGCGAGCATAGACTGATCAGTTGACCTTGAGATTTCATTTCCCACCAGGAAAATCCATGGCTGTGCTTGGCTGCTGTGTATTTCAGTGTGCTATTCTTGTGACTGTCCCAAGGACGTTTCTATGATGTATAAATAAACGAGAGTTGTGTGCTTGATTGTATTGTGCTTGCTGGGTGTTGGTAGAATATACTTTCTACGCTTACAAAGCCTTTTTCCTTCAGCTTGGGATTCAAGGTAGCCCTTCCTGAACGCCTGTAATTGTCTCGTTCGCGTTTATCGACTAAGGTGAACTCGTAATAGCTTCAATCGTACCTAGTGACAAACCCTACAAAAATAGATGACGTTTTCTCTGTCTTATATCAATTTTCGTCCAAAGTATCTAAAGGAACTAGGTTAGGTTTACGTTGCAAAGCTGAAGTCACATGGGTTGACTCCAGAAGTCAGTCGATCAGTCAGCTACAACGTAGAACTTCCTATATACGTACATCATCAGTTCAAGTTGTCATATCACATTTGCACACACACATTTGCACATCACATTTGCAATTGCCAATTCAAATCCCACAGTGGTAGATGTAGTGGGAGTATTAGAGGTAATGGACAAGATTAGGGTTTGAAAATATCAATCAGGAAGTATAATCCAGTGAAATTAGTTTAAAAAGAGAAAGAGAGAAGTGATAAGGAATTCAGAAGATTAGAATTTCAAAGAAGAAAAAGAATGAATGCACCTGCATCATTGCAAACGATTTTCAGCGATTTCATTCAAAGTCTATAGCCATCGGTTACTACTGTCTTGCGGAAACCGACCAGGTAATCTACACCTACCAACATGGCTCAGTCCAGTTGTCAGTGACTTCATGGATTTGCGCCATGTGTCGGTCTCTATAAAATCTAATATATTTTTTCAAAAGAGACAGGATCACCAGAAATCGAAACTGGATATTATAGACCCTTTAGTACCATTTCCGTTTCCTTTTGTGTTTATCTCTTTCTTAATCCAAACATCCACATAAGTTTTTTTTTTACTTATAATTATCTTGACCGCGCCGCTCACACTGTAAATTATATTCACACAGAGTTATTATTATCACTGTCTTCAGTGTCAAGACAAAATTCCTACTATACTATACATTTGATTCACACGATTTATTGTCTTACTAATTACAACTTGACACCTTACTTCGACTCACGCAAACCTTTATTAAATGACCTTATTAATTTCAAAATAACACGATCTTGAAGTATTTATACCGATAAGAATCGCAAATTTTAACATGTAACACTGTCTCATTCATTCATGTGTGCATGTCCTACTTTGGCCTTGGTCACAGCAACACAGCAACACTATGAACTTATCACAAACTGTAGAGTAAGTAGGATGATGAAATTATTATTGAGAAAAATAATGGTTCGTTCGCTGCAAACTGCAAAACACACGTGCAAATTGACTGACTTACTGTGTTTTAATCGCTTTTAAAGCTTTAGAAATTGATGCCTCACTATTTTTAATTCGATGACCTTCATCACAGATAACAAGTTGTGGACCAGGATCCAATAATGCTGTATGGAAATCTATATTGATAAAAACACACAAAAAAATGATTCTCGAAAATATGTATTGGACAGTTAGATTTGTAAATAAAAGAAAATAAAAGAATACTAAAGTGCCTGAAAAGATAGATGGTCAGTATTATACAGAATTGTTATGAGAGACTAAATTGCAAAATCGTGCATGTAGGACAGTTCACAGACTCGTTCGAAGTAAATGCCGGTGTCAGACAAAGTTGCTTACTCGCACTATTGCTCCCGGGGATCGACTGGATTATGAAGAGGTCAAGATCTGAAGGGAAGCACAGGATACAGTGGACAACTAGGACGCAGCTGGATGATCTGGCTCCCCTATCGCACACGCAACAAAAAGGCGACCAGTGTAGCAGCAGGTCTCAACATACACAAAAGACAAAGCAAGATTCTCTGATACAACACAACATGCATCAACCAAATCAAACTTGATGGAGAAGATTTGGAGGATGTAGAAATCGTTAAATACCTGAGCAAGTTGGATCTGAAGGCATGTATTGGCAAAGGGTAGTATTTTTACAAGTGCAGAAAATCTGAAACTCAAAACAAATATCAACCAAAAACCAAAGTCGAAACTTTTAGTACCAATCTTGACACAGTTCTACCGTATGAGGCGGAAAGTTAGAGAACTACAAAAGCCATCATTTTGAAGAGCTCTCTACTAAAGATGCCGAGGATCCGTTGACCAGACCCCATCAGCAACAACCTACATCATCAACAAACCAGATTCCAGCTGACGGAGAAATCAATATAATCACATGACGATTTATTTTAGGCTAACCATGAATTTATGCCGAAGACTCATGTTTTATGTACTTGCAACGTAGCTTATGAGTAATATGTGGCGATTTTGCCTTGAAGTAACCGCTCAAATGAAATTTCGATTCGGATCAGAATGTTTTGAAGACTAGAAGACAGCAAATAATCTGCTTGTTTGCTAGTAAACTGAGTTTTCTCTAAAGAAAAATCACACATTCAATCTGGTCATAACGTCTTCGTTTATTACAACAAGGTAAATGAATAGAGATATTCTATTTATTTTATTTAATTAGAGATATGATCAGTGTTTTTACACATTGATTTCATCAATCATTGCTAGACCCCCATAGAAAACCTGGAAGCACTGGACGGACGTTTCATCTTGGAATGGGACCGATCAGCAGTGCGCAACCACAACTCCTGCTACTCGCAGGATTCAGACACAGGACCTTCAGTCCTGAGTGCGAACGCTTAACCTCCTGGATACGCACTGTTGATGAGTCTCGCAACCGGACAAAACGGCCGTCCTTCAGTGCTTCCAGGCTTCTAATGGTTGGTCTAACAATGATTGGTGATTTCAATATTCTATTTACACATTTTTGAAACCATGAATCGATCAATGCCAGACCACCATTAGAAACCTGGAAACACTGGACAATGGCCGTTTCGTCCTGGCATGGGACTCCTCAGCAGTGCGCATCCACGACTCATGCACACCGCAGGATTCGAACCCAGGACCTTGGGTATTGTAGGCGAACGCCTAACCATTGGACCACTGAGCCGGTATCTAACGGTGTTAATGTCTAACTTGAGGAATCTTCGCCGGGTTCTAGTGGGAAGACGTGACCAATGAAGTTCAACCTGTTCGGGTGTGAAGCAGTGCTCACCGAAGACTGTGTGTGAGGTTGCGCAACTCTGTGAATTGATCAAGTTAGACATTAACACCGCTGGGTACCAACTCAGTGGTCCGATGGTTAGGCGTTCGCCTACAATACCCAAGGTCCTGGGTTCGAATCCTGCGGGGTGCAGGAGTCGTGGATGCGCACTGCTGAGGAGTCACATACCAGGACGAAACGGCCGTCCAGTGCTTCCAGGTTTCTAATGGTGGTCTAACATTGATCGATTCATGGTTTCAAAAATGTGTAACTTAACAATCTTCACAACCTCGTAGTAATGCAAATATTCTATTTAATTGAATATATAAAACATACATTGATAATAAAATGACACAAATAAGAAACTATCGACTGCAACTGTATGTTTATATCAGATAAGCATTAAAGGTAGCTAGCTACTCTGTAAATGAAGAACTAGTTGATTTATTGAAAATGCGTAAATCATATATATATATATATATATATATATATATATATATATATATATATGCAGCATAGATCAAATCGACTTCTGACAAAAATGTAGATAGTATTGTTTTGTTTTTCTTGATTGACCTACCTGCCCACATTTTTTCACGTTTCTCCTCTTTTTCAATATCAATGCAAATATCTTTTTTTCGACGTTTCGGTATGCGTACATCCATTTTTGTTGAGTAGAATGAAGGAGGATTAAGACGTTTTTGATTTAATAGTAATCGAAACATTTCATAGCCCAATAATAAAACACCACCTTCTTCAAACCATTGTTGAATAATCTTAGGGAAAGAGAAAAGAAAAGGAACAGATATGTTAAAACACAACTGTATTACATGAAAATGGAAAGCAACAAAAATGTCTAAATGACGGAACACTAGTAATGTACTACTCATAAAGTCTCAGTCAATAGGTTCCCTTTAACCCACAGAAAAAAACAAGACAATGTTTTCAGGATATAATTGACAAGCAAGTTGATTCAACTCCGTCTTTAGCCGCCTCCGGGGCTACTGCCGGTCCAAAGCCCGAATACAGTAAGAGGGTTGGGCTTGGGTTGGAAACCCCAACCCGTAGAAAACTAACTCGCTAAAAAAATAATTCAAACCATTTAGACTCTGCTCTGGGAGTTAGGTCTTCATTTAGAAGAGTTATGACGTGCAATGATGAAAGCTGAGTTCCTTCGGAGGTCACGAGACCGATACTCCTTCTGTTGGTGGGACAAAGGAGTCGTGGATGCTCACTGCTGATGAATCCCATACCAGGACGAAACGTCCATTTTTCAGTGCTTCCAGGTTTCTAATGGTGGTCTAACAATGATTGATTGATGATTTCAAATATTATGATGATAACAAAAGACTATAATTTAAGCGAAGATAAACAATCGATGCATCTCCAACATTGAAAACGATTTTGAGCCATGTCATTCAAAGTCACTAACCATCAGTTACTATCGTCTAGCGGATCCCGAACAGGTAGTCTACACCTACCTACATGACTCAGTCCAGTTCTCAGTAACTTCATAGATTTGGGCCATGTTTTGGTTTGGTCACTCCTAGCTTTCTTCCAGCCCACCCCAACATCAGACATCGTTCGACAAGGCAGAGTGAAAATACATTACCTGTGTTAGTTCACATCATATCGAGATAATCACAGTAATTCGATGTGGATCAAACAGTAAATATTGAGAAAGGTTATTTCAAAAGTGAATTTCCACTTACTTGATGTCGTTGACTCATAGTTTTCACAGTATCTCGTACTACAAATAACTTGAATGGTCGAAGACAACTACTACTATTAACAAGTGGATATTCTGAATCATTTGGCTCACTATAAAAACTTTCACTATGCGACATATCTTGTACATTCGATTGAGATTCGGTTTTTTCATTTTCAAACATAGAAGACCATAACATTTGTTCATCATCCTCCATACTGGCATCCATTTCTTTGGAATCAACCAATGGAACATTGAGATCATTTGGTTCACTAGAAGAAGAATCTGTACGATCAGTGTGGGTGGATGGATGTGATTTTGATTCTGTGGTCGATTTAGGAATTAAGAAACGTTGAAAAAGTTTTGATTTCTTGCTTGTTGCACAACTTGATAAATCAGTCGGTAACCAAAGTTCAAATTCTGCCTGCCAATTCTAAAATCCAGTGAAATCAATTTACATTTGTATAGGTTAAATCATCGGTTTGTTCTATTCACGTGACATGAAAAAGATACATTTACTAAAATTATAAGGTGAATCTTATGAAACTTGAACAATACTCATGATAAGCCTTATTACCACATAATACATGTATGGATGAAGATAAGTCAGTCAGTCAGTCAGTCAACAACAACACAAAACTTCGTACGTACGTACATCAGTTCAAGTTGCCATATCACACATTAGGACACACAGATCGAATTGTCAATTCAAATCCAATAGTAGTAGAGGTAGTAGAAGTTTTAGCAGTAATCGGAGAGATTAGGGTTCGACGATGTTACTCAAGAAGTACAATCTAGTGAAATAAAGCTGATGAAGAATTCAGGAAGTTAGGATTTGAGAGAACACAAAGAATGAATGCACCTGCGCCAATGCAAACGGTTTTCAACCATGTCAGGATGAAGATAAATCCATAATCCAAGTATTAGGATTCTTAAAACTCGGTATGTTTATCACCAGCCCTCGTGTTATATACTTGCTTGGATAGTTTACAATGGGAAAATAGTAGTACTAATAATCAAATAATGGAGATTGGCAGAAATAGTGGTACCAGCAGTTTTTTTTCAAACTGACTATCATCTCTTTGCATTTCGAAAGATTAGCCACAGTCAATCAGATGCAACGTAGAACTTCGTACGTAAGTACATCAGTTCATGTTGCCATACCACATTAGCACAGAGATGTAATTGTCAATTCAAACCCAATAGTAGTAAAGGTATTAGAAGTAATCGAAGAGGTTAGGATTAGAAGATATTATTCAAGAAGTATGATTCAGTGAGATAAGTTTAGAAAGACAAAACTAGAGGTGTTGAAGAATCCAGAAGATTAGGATTTGAGAGGACACAAAGAATGAATGCACCGGCGCCATTGCAAACGGTCTTGAGCCATGTCATTCAAGGTCTCTAACCATCGATTATTATCATCTCGCGGACCTCAACCTGGTAGTCGACAATTACCGACATGGCTAAGTCCACTCGTCAGTGACTTCATGGATTTATGCCATGTTTTGGTTTGGCCGCTCCTAACTTTCTACCAACCTATTCCTACACTACGAAACAAAGCTCGACGAGGCAGTCGGTGGTTAGGCATACGCAGCACATGTCCCAACAACCTTAACTGATGAAGTTTCATTACTTCATCTATTGATCTGCCATTCTTACGTAGCACCCGTGTCCTAATAACAGCGTTGCTCACTCGGGTGTCTCACGATATACGAGCAATGCTTCGGATACACCTATGGTCGAAAACCAGTAACCTACGAATATCTTCTACTCTCACTGGCCATGTTTCACAGCAATAAAGTAAGACAGAGCGGACCACTGCACAGTACACTCGTCCTTTAGTCAACAAACGGATATTTCGCCTACGCCATAAGTGACTCGGGTTGGCAAAAGCCAATCGAGCCTTCTGTTTCCGAGCTGAGATTTCGTCAGTCACCAGGTCAACAGCACGAGAGACCAAATTGGTCGAAATCAAATCCTTCCTACACCACCCCTTAGCCACAGTAGATCATGCATATATATCTCAAAGCCATTGAAACAATATAACTATGTAAAAATTAAATATGATATATTGAAGGTGTATAAAAGAAAAAGGGTGATACGAGAATGTTTGCAACAGCATTCAATGTAGCACCACTATCTACCTACCTGTATAGTATTGATAGGAACAATGACAAGTACTCGTTGTGCTTGACAAAAACGAAATAAAATATCAAGAAATCCGATAATTTGTATAGTTTTACCCAATCCCATACTATGCGCTAAAATACAACCGAATCCATCCGTTGTTTGAAAACGTTTTACACTTTCAACAACATTGTCATATAAAAAACGTATACCGCTAACCTACAATAAAAAGAAACACAATAATGGTCATAGTTTAAATTATGCGATGTATAAACAAGTTTGAATTGTCTTTTAGACTTGGCATTTTTTTTCGTGAACTTGCATCGTTTGAATTAGGGGTACAGGGCGATAAAGGAATGTGAGAAGATTTAGTCATGGAAATAAGAGAGATGTTAGGGGGATGTAGAAAGGATTCCTCATCATATTTATCTATCTTTCTCTTTCTAAAGTTATCTCACTGAATTATACATCTTGAATCATATATTCGAACCCTAATCTTCTCCATTACTACTAATACTGCTATTATCTCTACCACTATTGGATTTGAACTGATAGTTGCGTCTCTGTGCCGATACGGTATGGCAACTCGAGCTTATGAACTGATGTACGTCGTAACAGGCTGACTTAGCATTTTTTTAAAACGGTGAATTTCGGCCACCATTATTATAGTCTGCGTAGGGGATCATAATCTATACTACTTAAATACGAATATAGATTTTTTTCTGAAAGTTCACTAAGAAAGTATTTTTTGCAATAGACTTGGAAATGTAACAACCAAAACTGTTTATAAAGATTGAGGATTGGTGTACTTTGATGAATGTTGTTGAACAGTATGAAAACAAAATTTCTGCTCCTTAGTCTTAAAATGAATAGACTATGCAGTAAATAGCATAGCATGGAGATGCCTTGGAGGACGTTAAGCCCTTTACATATCTAGGCAGCATAATCGACAACCAAGGTGGATCGGATGCAGATGTGAGGGCACGGATCAGCAAAGCAAGGGCTGCATTTCTACAGTTGAAAAATATCTGGAACTCCAAACAACTGTCAACCAAAACCAAAATCACGATTTTCAGTACAAATGTCAAGACAGTTCTACTGTATGGAGCGAAAACATGGAGAACTACGAAAGGCATCATCCAGAAGATATAAGTATTTATTAACAGCTGCCTACACAAAATACGTCGTATTTGTTGGCCAGAAATGATCAGCAACAACCTGCTGTGGGAGAGAACAAGTCAGATTCCAGTGGAGGAGGAAATGAGGAAGAAGTGGTGGAAGCGGATAGGACACACACTACGAAAAGCACCTAACTGCGTCACGAGACAAGCCCTCACATGGAACCCTCAAGGCAAAAGGAAAAGAGGCAGGCCAAAGAATACATTACGCCGAGAAATAGAGAAATACATGAGAGGAATGAACAAACATTGGACAGAACTGGAGAGGGAAGCCCAGGACAGAGTTGGTTGGAGAAAACTAGTGGGCGGCCTATGCTCCATTGGGGGTAACAGGTGTAAGTAAGTAAGTAAGTAATGCAGTAAATAGGGGAACTTTTTCCTGACAAGTATAAAATAATTCATTCCACTAAACTTTATAAGCATGTTGCTTCAACAGAATGAAGATAAAAATATATAAACAAATCAAAGATAAGGAAATTTTGAGAAACAATGATACAATCTACTGTCACATCAGTCAGTCAGTCAGTTGGTTACAACGAAGAACTTTGTACGTTCTTACATCAGTTCAAGTTGGCATACCGCGATAGCATAGAGATGTAATTGTCGATTCAAATCCTATAATGGTAGAAGTAGGAAGTATGAGCAGTAATCTAAAAGATCACAGTCCGAAGGTATTATTCAAGAGTCCAGTGAAATAGATTTGAAAAGAGAAAGATGAAGTTCATGAGGAGTTTAGATTAGAATTAGGGAGAACACAAAGAATACATGCACATGTGCCATCACAAACGATTATGAGCCATGTCACTCAAGGTCTCTAACTATCGATTATGATTATCTCGCGGACCCTAACCAGGTAGTGTACACCTACCAGCGTGGGTCAGTTCACTTGTCAGTAGTTTCATGAACTTCTATCATGTTTCGGCTTGGCCACCCCTAGCTTCCTTCCAACCTACTCTTACATCACAAAAAAATAGCTCGTCAAGGTATTCGCTGGTTGGGCATACGTAACACATATCCTAACCATCTCAACAGATGAAGTTTCAACACTTCATCAACCAAGTTGTCATATGATGCTATTTTTAGCATTTTAAAGATCAAGTTAATGAAGAACCAACAAAAAAGTACTAAAAGCTTTACAGTGGCTTTTGATTTATGAATCAAAGAAAAATGACTTACTTGATGTGGTTTAATAACTCTAGCCATTTGAGGGCATAATACAATTTCTGGTTCTTCCTCTTGATCACGTGATCTATTGATAATAATTTTCCCATCAACATCAGCTAAATTCTCTGCATCTTGTATTTCACAAATTTCAGCTTCTACTTCCACTTCTGGTTCATCTTCACCATCGCTCACTTCAATCACAGTATCATCGGCATCCTGTGTACACACACACATTGCAAACATGTAGATCATCAGATAAAAACAGAACATCGATACGATGCATTACGTTGTTAACTTTTAAATTAATAGGATAAAAAATCAATTGCCGGATAAACATTCAGTCAGTCAGTCAGATGCAACGTAGAACTTCGTACGTGAGTACATCAGTTCATGTTGCCATACCACATCAGCACAGAGATGTAAATGTCAAATCAAATCCAATAGTAGTAGAGGTAGTAAAAGTATTAGAAGTAATCGGAGAAGTTAGGATGAGTAGATATTATTCAAGAAGTATGATTAAATGAGAAAAGTTTAGAGAGTCGAAACTAGAGGGGTTGAAGAATCCAGAAGATTAGGATTTGAGAGAACATAGAGAATAAATGCACCGGTGCCATTGCAAACGATTTTGAGCCATGTCATTCAACGTCTCTAACCATCGATTATTATCATCTCGTGAACCCCAACCGGGTAGTCGACAACTACCGACATAGCTCAGTCCACTCGTCAATGACTTCATTGATGTGTGCCATGTTTTGGTTTGTCCGCCCCTAGCTTTCTTCCAACCTATCCCTACACTACAAAACAAAGCTCGTCGAGGCAGTCGGTGGTTAGGCAAACGCAACACATGTCTCAACCACCTCAACTGATGAAGTTTCAGCACTTCATCTATTGATCTTCCAACCTTACCTAGCACCCGCTTCCTAATAACAGCGTTGCTCACTCAGATAGACATTACTTTGAAAACTAATGTTCTGATTTAATAGCGAAAAGAAAATTGAACCAAAAATATATTTGATCATTAAATTGTCTTCGTATAAATGTCGTCTATCATGTCACTGACTACTGGCGGTTAGTTCCATCAGTCATTGTTTCCCTTTTGCAAGTCCACTGACAAGTGGACTGAGTCATGTTGGTAGATGTAGGCTACTTGGTTAGGGTCCGCAAGACGGAAGTCACCAATGGTTAGAGACCTTGAACGACGTGACTCAAAATCGTTTGCAATGGCGCAAGCACATCCACTCTTTGTGCTCTCTCAAATTCTAACTTTCTGAATTCCTCATCATCTATATCTATCTCTTTCTAAATTTATCTCACTGCATTATACTTCTCAAATCATATCTTCTAACCCTAATCTTCTCCATTACTGCTAATATTTCTACCATTGCTATCACTCTTGGATTTGAACTGACAGTTGCGTCTGTGTGCTGATGCAGTATGGCAACCTCAACTGATGTACATACACGTATGAAGTTCTTTGTTGTGTTTGTCTGTCTGTTAGTATTTCTATTTTATTTCATTGTCACTTAAATAATTGGATAAAAGCCCAGTTCATTTTATACATCATCACATCATACAAGAGGTTCATGGCAGATTATATATCCGAAGTGTATTCTGACTCTTAAGTATAACTGATAAAGTTTTAGTGTGAATAATTAATTTATTAACTGATCTACCACAAACTGATTTATTTTAAAAAGGTTAAAAATTCTTTACACACGAAATTAGTCTTTATAACCAAAAAAAAATTAATCGGGAACTTATGAGATATCGTCGTTATCCCAACTCAAAACTACAAGTTTTTCCCAGTTGTATGGGAGCCGATGATTTCAAACTGTCCAAATAAAGGAAGGTGAAGGGGAATATTCAACATGGAGTTTGTTGGTATAAAACAGAGTAGTCACCTTTGTCGGATAGTAATTATTAGGTCCTGATTAGGAATGAACTTGACGGAACAACTTGATGCCGTTATCAGAAACCGCAAATCTAATGCATAACTGTATCAGAAATCTACGTTTAACATTCCCCAAATTTAAGGCAAATGGATTTAACAGACAGAACCAAATTTATAAAAAAGTATACCATATCACAAAACTAACGGAAACAAACACTTGATATCACGACTACGAGCTGAACACTAACTGCCGGTCTTTCCGGCCATCGAAAGTCAATCACGGTGTTTGATTGTCCGGATGAAAAAATATAACCAAGAACCTATTAAGATCGACTACACATTGAGGTCAGCTGGTCATTGGCAACTCAGAACCTGGCACATATATCCATTAGTTTAAGTTGTCACATAACATCAGCACAGTGCGACGAAATTATAAAGAAAAATTCCATAGTAAAGAAATAACATTATCAGTAATAGCGGGTCGAAATGAAGACAAAGTGAATTATACAAACCTACCTGCTCATCATCAGAATCCCCAAGCAAAATAGGATCATCTTGTGACTGACCCATCCGAAGAGACTGTAAATCACTCCATGTGGAACCAAAAAGTGCAGCAGAGGCGGAACTGACAGTTCGTTTCTGATCCGGTTCGTTACCAGAACATGAAGCTTCAGAAGGTGACTGTTTACCTCCATTCGTAAAAACGTTTGAGGCGGCTTGTTTAGAACCTTTTTCAACTTTTCCAACTGAACTACGCTGATTGTCAACGGTTGAACCATTTTCCAAGAAGTTACATTCGTCAACATCAATCTCATCCTGTTCATCCGTTCTTTCAAATGAACTAGTTTCTTGTAGTTCAGATTGAAAGTTAGCATCAGAACATTTGAGGAAATCAGGTGACGATGAAGAATCTATTGTAAATAGTAAGGTATGATTGGGAGTTCACGAAAAACATTCAGGAACATAAGGAACTATATATGAATCCTGCTTAGAGCAATAATCATCATGTCTAAAAAGTAACCATCTTCTTTAGGTAGTAATCAGGTGTAGTACAATGCCGTCACATACGTTAAGTGTTACTATTATTCGCTATGGAAATTTGTTCGTTAAAAAATCGTTTCGAAACATGAACTCCAGAATATGAGTTGAAAAGAAACGATGATCTAAATCTTACAACACGACTCACATTAACAGTCAATAATAACTCTACAGTCTGGCCACTCATCATTTAAAAAAAACAGACTTTTAACAAGAACAATAGTGAATATTATTTAACATATAATCCTCAACAGCTTATATAATAAAGTACATATTAGTCTGAATACTTAGGAGACCTAGATGTCTAAGTACATTGAATGCCTTATTTCATTCTGCCTTGACGAGCTTTATGTTTCGTAGTGAAGAGGAAGGTTGAAAGAGAGCTAGGAGCAGCCAAACCTAAACATACCACATGTTAATATAGGTGTAGACTACCTGGTCGGAGTCCACGAGACAATCATAACCGATGGTTAGAAACCCTGAATGACATGGCTCAAAATAGTTTGCAATGGCACAGGTGCATTCACTCTGTGTTTTAGCAAATCCTAATCTGAATTACTCATTACCTTTACCTTTCGCTATTCGAGTTTATTTCACTAGAATATTCTTCTTGAATAATATCACAGATGACTTCTAATACTTTTACTACCTCTACTATAATGGGAATTGAAGTAATAACTGCATCTCTGTGTGTTAATGTGGTATGGCAACTTGAACTGATATACGTACGTACGAAGTTGTACGTTGTAACTGATTTATTTCATTCCACTGGAGCTAATCGAAAGTTCAAGGATTATAAGGCAAGTGGCTTATTAAGGAATCCAATAATATCATTTGCTGAGAATCATTGTCTACAGAAACAACTAGCAACTTTTCAGCAAAGGCAATTCCACAATATTTTAAACACTGAGATGATGTTATATAGTTTTAGATACGAGACAAGGGTAGATTACTTTCAAGTTTTCATTAATGAACTGGAGTACTTTGTTAATTGTTTGCATCTAATTAGAAAGCGTGATAAATATATGTGCTTTTAGTAGGGAAAATAATATAAGCTGTCATTGTGGGAAATGAAACAGTTAAGAGCAGTATGAAGGACCTTCTGGATTTAAGAATACACAGAATATTATCTTGAGATTTCTTAGAGTTGAAAGATTACTATGACAGTTCTATTGTAATGGTGTATGACGGCTTTATGAAATCCTAAATGCCACTGGATGCTACCAAATCTACTTTTCAATACCGAAAAGTTAACAGCAACATATATCCCAGGTGTCGCAGACTTTCACAATGAAACGGGATCCGGAGTCCAACTTAATAAAGCATTTGTGTCCATCTTAAAAATCGACAAAATCACTGTTGGAACATCAGACAGAAAAGTTTTACGAAAAATCTTCAACAGACCCAATAACAAATGAACGGTATACGATCAGTCTACAGTTCAATATCTTCACCTTTACCTGTTTAATTTTTGTGCCCTTACTGACATGATTGATGGGATACATTATGAATAGATTTCTGAAGTAGCCAGATTACTGTGCTCATAAAGTTATATCAAACTACTAATGACAAATTAGAGTCAAGTAATTCATCCTACTATAGAAAGTAGACATGAGTTATTCTAACCCGAATAGACAGTGTTTATTTGATACACAGGAAGCTAGTTAAATATTTTAAAGTACTATGGTGATTGAAATATAGAATCAGGCATGTAAGAAATTGTCTCATATTTTATAAATTTTAAAGTAGTATATAGCAACGAGAAACTTTATATGTATAATAAAAGTTGAAAAATTACCAGCTACTTACCGTTTAGTAGGAAATCTATGTTAGAAAACTTGACTTGTTCTCCCTTATCTTTATTAACAAGGCGTTGCCTTCTTTCCATTTCTGCTTTTTGAGCTGCTTTAGCTTCTTCACTAAGGCCATCTTCCCGAACTTTTCTACAATGCAATGAAGACAGATATATTATAATCTAACTTGATATTGCGTCTTTCGAAAGTTTGTTTGCGTCGACTTTTGCGAGAGTTCGTTTTATCAGGGCTATCAGCTGGTTTATCATCTTGATTTTCATTATCTGACAGAATTAACTCCCCATCTTCCTCTCTAAACTGACCTTTTAAGGTTATTGGACAGATAAATTTAGCGAATATATACTTACACTTTTCAGGGTTTTCTTCACTCATGAGTACAAACTGATTTGCTTAAACCATTCATAAATTCCCAGACGATAATTAACCACAGAAATAAAGCAAAACTTAATTACGCAAAAGTACGGTCAAAAAGTATCAAGGCCAATTCATTCAAACAACACAGGGTCCCATTTACACCATATCACGAGACATGAAAAAAATGGTTCAACAGAATTTTTTAAAAATACTTGTTCTTATAACCCTTATGTAAAAATATACCTTAATTATTATAAAACTGATTTAAGATTGTTATGATCATTGCTCAATATACATCACCTATAATATCTTTTGCTCCAGGTTAATTAGGGGCGAATTAACATTAAACAACTATTTTCTAGATACTTAATGTCGTACAACCTCGTACTATTATACAACTGACGATAAAATTCCTGGCAGTTCCTTTGGATATCATTTCGCGTCAATTTATTTTGTGTTTACGTTCCAGAACAACTGGATTTCTGAAACATATTGTTTCTGCAAAAGTAGCTCTTCAGTTAAAGGCTATAGTGAGGAAGATTTACAGATTTACGGACTTGTAATGCGAAAGGTTACAATGTGTCTGAGTACTTGCTTTCTTGAAAGTAGTAGTTCACTTTATAAACTGCTGTGGCCGTTTTTAGGTACGGCTGATTTTCTGAAGCGGATAGAGGACAACCCATAATGTTTTTCAGGTGAAGTCAAGGAAAACAATAGCAGCTAGCAGAGCTCATCATCCTTACAGTGCCTATATATACTAACTCCACAGAAGTTTAGTTCGTTTCCACGGACAGATCTCCACCTTCATGCTTGTTCGAAGACAGAGAAGAATGAACTTAAAAGTAGTGTCTACGTGTGCACATAACTGTCTTTAGACAAAGTGCAGGTGAAATACAAGTCGAATATCTTTATAATACACAGAAGTTCCGATACCGACTTATTTTGGAAACTGAGGCAAATAATAGCACCTCTGTAGACCCTTCCAGAAAACGAACCATTAAAAACGTTTGAAGGTAGTGTTACTAATTGCCTCTAACGTCCGCTTATTTGGCTGTAAGTTTCTAGCCTAGTAGGTGACTAGTGGTTTCGTATTCGGTGACCACAGAGTTTGATATATTGTGTTGCACAAACTTATATGCGTATATGTGTTTATAATATATGGATCTCATGGATTTAATATCATCAACGCATCCACCAAAAGATTGAGGGAGGAGATAACAATAAACATCGTCCATTTCTTACCACCTGTTGATGGTAAAAACTAAGATGATAATGATCAGTTTCATGAGAGGCGGCTGTCGATCAGGGAGAACTGCCTAATATGATACTTGATTATCTCAAACGTTAAGCCGAACAAAGAATTCGGTGTAAATCATAAGCAAAATGATGATTTTATGTTACGACGTGGGTCTGAATGAATGGACGAAATTATTAAAACTTGTGAGTTTATGTACTCTACTGACTGTGCGATGGGCAGCACTATTCCCCAACTAAAAAGCATGCTTAAAACGAAGTGAATTTTCGCCAGTGCTAAAGATCATGAAATTAATCACCTTTAAAATTGAGGAAAATTTCAGGAGAATACTGGAAAACATAAAATACGGCCCTTAATCATTTTCTGGAAGTAAAGTACCAGATCCATTGGACAACTAAACAAGCTTTGGCTAGTTATACAGATTAAAAGAAACAAGTAAGGGTGCTATAAATTAAAGGTAGAAGATCTCATACTGACAGCAGAAAGATTTTGAGCTAGAACTGCATGTTACAACCTGGAAGCTAAGCAAGAATTAAAGTGAGCCAGATCTACTAGTCAAGAACGAGATTCAGTAGCGTGAAATTCAAAGGCAAAAGAACAGTAGAGCAGGATATTCATCTCATGGTTTAAGCTGTAGACTCGTATAAAGAAGGAACTCAGAGTGATTTTAGTAACGTGTGGTATTCAAAAAAGCTGCCTACTTTTGCCCTTTCACTGTCCTAGTTTGTAGAATGGATTTTGAAAACCCTTACATAGGAGGTGGAGTTCGAAATACCCTGGAAACACTGAACACAGTGTCCTGTTTGCTCTTTCAAGATGATCAAAAGTTTCTACCTCATTCAATTCAATAGGTACAGATAAAGACAGCTAGCCTGATATTGAATTTTACAAATGTAGTCACAAGGGAGCACTGGGAACACTGCCAGACTTTAGTCCGTATAAAGGACCTTTGGCCATTGAAGACTAACAAGCCAAAAAATGTTAGTCAGAAATAATAACTCAAACCATTTAAACTCTGCCCTGGGATTTAGAAGGTCTTCATTCAGAAGGTTTATGACATCTCGTAATGAAGGCCGGGTTCCTTCAGAAGTAACGAGGTCTATGCCCCTTCTCACAGCCAGAGCAAGCTTTAATATAGGTATATGGGATATTGACATATTAAGTCAGAAGTTGCTGCAGTAATGAAAAGATACGACTTGCTGGTATTGTATATAGATGCATTTTCTACCCCAGCAGTTCATTCCGTTTCCAATAGGTGCAGGTTGGTACGCGATGTCCCAGATCCGATACCAAAACACAGTAATTCTGGAAGAAAACGGTCTTTATTTAATATAAAATGGAAATACAGACAATTACCCAACAATATTACACCTTCTAAATCCGATTTGCCGCGGTGGGTATCCGCTTCTGGAAGAATAAGTGCTTCCAGTCCGTACAGTCGATGTATCAAATCCAAATATGGCTGTAGCCATATTAAATATCAGATTTAAACAACATATGTACAGTTCAGAAGCGAACATAAAAACTTCAATATACGTACAAAATATAGAAATAATAATAATATACAATGATAAAATCTGAAAATGGAATCAAATAGAGTACCAAAATGTCAACAGAAAGAGTCAGTCATATCATAACACAAATATATATACATGGAGGGATTTTCCAAAAAACGAAACATTCAAAATGTTTCTACACTGTATGGTGAGTAGACTTGGATAATTACTAAAGTTATTATCCAGAAGACACCAATGTTTTCTGATGGGAATCTCATGGAACAGGATCATCGACTTACTTACTTTCGCCTGTTACCGCCAATGGAGCATAGGCCGCCCACCAGTTTTCTCCAACCAACTCTGTCCTCCTGGGCTTCCTTTTCTAGTTCTTTCCAACTTTTTCTTCATTCTTCTCATGTCTTTGTCTGTTTCTCGGAGTAATGTGTTCCTTGGCCTTCCTCTTTTCCTTTTGCCTTGAGGGTTCCACTTGTGAGGGCTTGTCTCGTGACGCAGTTAGGTGCTTTTCGTAGTGTGTGTCCTATCCACTTCCATCGCTTCTTCCTCATTTCCTCCACTGGAATCTGGTTTGTTCTCTCCCACAGTTCGTTGTTGCTGATGGTGTCTGGCCAACGAATACGAAGTATTTTGCGTAGACAGGTGTTAATAAACACTTTTATATTCTAGATGATGCCTTTCGTAATTCTCCAGGTTTCCTCTGCATACAGTAGAACTGTCTTGACATTTGAATTGGAAATCCTGATTTTAGTTTTGATTGAAAGTTGTTTGGTGTTCCAGATATTTTTCAACTGTAGAAATGCAGCCCTTGCTTTGCCAATCCGCGCCCTCACATCTGCATCGGATCCACCTTGACTGTCGATGATGCTGCCCAGAAATGCAAAGGTGTTAACGTCCTCCCAGACATCTCCATCAAGTGTGATTTGGTTGGTGCATGTTGTGTTGCATCGGAGAATTTCGCTATTTCTTTTATGTATGTTGAGTCCTGCTGCTGCAGAGACTGCTGCTACATAGGGTCATCGAGGAGTCCTATAAAAGAAAGAGACTATGCAAATGTGGATGTAAAGATCAGTTTCTTTACAGTCTGCAGTCGATCATGGAAAAATGCCAATCGAAGGACTTAACAATTCTGGATAGACAATACTGTATTAAGTCATCATGTGACAATACAGACTGGGAGAAAGGAACGAAGACAGTTAGAGTCTTGCATACCTATGAGTCTGTAGTGGAACGCTCCTACGAAGAAAATATGATTTGTGAAAAATAAACATTATTGTACTCGTTTTGTTTAACTGTACCAAAAATACTTCTACTACTTCTTGCTCGCAAGGTTTTCTTCTCGTTGCTGCCAATTTTTTTCTGTTTGCTGCTCCCCATGTAATTCCAACGTTCTTCAATAAAATCTTGGAATATGGATTTATTTTGCTTTTATTGATGACGGGATATCATGGAACATTTAGTGGTGAGCATAGTCAATCTGGTATTTGGATTCGCTCACAACAAGTTTTCAATAAAATGGTCTTTAGCGACATTAAATTTTCATACAAATGCATACACAAAGTGACATAGAAGGACGATAGGGGACATGAGAACCAGTACAAGAGCTGAAGTAGTCCCAGATCATCACCTAGAGATAGGGAAACTGGAGCTGAAATTCATGAAGTACTGGACTACGGGAAGAACAACATTATCAAAGCCTTTCTTCGGGATAATGGCAAACTCAACGAATTATAGATTGACGTCAGAAGTGGTTTCTAACAGTTTCATGATTTACACGATGAAGAGGAAACTGTCGTGGAGAACAAAGGATAGAGGAGGCTATATAAAGATCTGTGGATACCCTGGATAAGTGTGGAGAAAGCAGGAACTAGAAGAGGAGAGAAAGCTAAGGGATACTCTGAGAATAAGAAGCACGTGAGAAGAGCATCAGAGCCGACAAACGGATATATATAAATGTTGCAACGATATCAGACAAAGCTGTGAGTCAAGGAAATATGGACCGAACATATGATAAAACGAAAAAACATTCCTAAAACATACTATGATTCATAAGAACCAGCGGAAAGCAAGGAAGGCGAAGCAATCACCGATATTGAGCAACGGTGAAACAGATGAGTAGTGATCTTTCAGGAACAATGGTATGATTACCCAGACCCTTTTTTTCTTTATCAGAACACTGACTTTACACTTGCACTTATGTAGGTGAGCGAAGACAAGTCCTAAAACTGCATGTAGTCAGTCTGAGGGAAGAATGCTTCATGCTACTGCACACTTAATAAGAAGGACGTTTTCCCGAGTTTTCGTTCCATGCTTCTCAAGTTCCACCGTCAATACTTTATCAAGAAAGTCGTATGTACATATAAT